TGGATTCTTGTGGGGTTTTGATACTCCAAAGAGGAGCATTGCAAAGGGGCTGGTAACATTGCGAGCTGGATTTAGTGCTGGCCTTTTGTTTTATAACAACCAGGAAGACCGGTCCAGAATACTGGACTTCAAACGGCCTCGATTAATGCGTCATTATTACAACATGCCGGTTGGATAGATACGGTCTTGCACAAGATACCCACATCAATGCTTTTCCCAGCTCTCTGCCTCATTTGCCCCGAGACTACAACAGTTGTGCTTTTACACAAAGGCATGCTAGGGCAGCCTTCCAGCTCTGCCTCAGCCCTCGTCACGTGTGGCTCTCCACAAGGAGAGGGTTCAGCAAAAAGGCCCATTAATGCTTGTGGTTTTGTTTTGTTTTTAAAAGGGCAATTTCTCTCTGGTTGACTGAAGATCCTCAGTAAACACAGGCAGTCAGTTCCAGTGGGGGGGGGGCGCTCTGCGTCTTGAGGAAGGGTACAAGTGGTCCTTGACTTACAACAGCTCACTTAGGGACTGTTCAAAGTGATAGCTGCATTGAAAAGAGTGAGTTACGACTTTTTTAACACTCACGGCCGTCTGCAGCCTCCCCATGTGTCACGTGATCAAAATTCAGACTCTTGGCAACTGGCATGTACTTAAGACGGTTGCAATGTGTCCCGGGTGTCATGTGATCACTTTTTATGACCTTCTGACCAGCAAAGTCAACGGGGGAAGCCAGATTCACTTAATGACGGTGTTGCTAACTTGTGCCACAGGGTGATCTCTATTAAGGAAATAACCTTTGGGATGGAGAAATAAACTTGATCTGATTGGAGTGACAGGTGTGAGGAGGGCTGTCCCTACTATAGGTGAAGGTAGTCCTTGATTTCATGACCACAATGGGGAGCAGAATCTCCCATTGCTAAGCAAGGCAGTTTGTTAAGTGAGTTGTGTCTAGTTTTACAACCTTTTTCTCATTCTCAGCTAATAAGGGACTCTAGCTTTCTCCATTGATTCTGCTTGTTGAAAGCCGGCTAAGAAAGTCGTAAACGACAAACACAGGGCTCCAGGATGCCGCAGCCATCATAAGCACATGCCTGTTGACCAGCTCCTGAATCTTGATCATGTATGTGCTGCATTGATAGCATAGGCAAAGGAGTGGTTGTAAGCCACATTTTTTTTTCTTACCGCTGTCATAACTTCAAACGGTTGCTAAACAAATGGTTTGCCAATTAAGGACTCCTTGTATAATGGAGCAGCAAAGAACAGATTGCAATAGCCCAAAGCTGGCTCTGTGGGCGACGTTGCTTCACATTTTCCACTTGCCAAACCCGGGATGAGCTGAGCCTGAAGTAACTGCATTAAAACACGAGAAACAGGCTTACGCCAATAAATGCAGAGGTAGGTAACAAAAGGTGCTGGTTATACCTGCCCTCCTTTTTTCAGAGATTAACTTCCTAACCAACCCGTCCCGTTCAAAAAGCAGACAGAAGAATTTCCGTTCCCATCTTTCCTAAGTATATATCCCTGATGAGTTGGTTAGATAGCCTTTGGCCATTTTTTTTTCTTTTCTTCTCAGCCTCAGCTTTAAAAAACGGGGATGCTGACACTGCCTTGCAAGACTTAGCAGGGCATATAATTTGCTGCTTGGCAATTAATTTAGCTCTTCATTTGCAAATCAAAAAGCCGGCTAAATATTTGAGTAGGTTGGTGGGTCAAGAAAAATGTTTATTGGGGTGTTTTGATAGCTCAGCGCCACTTATTCAGGAGCACAACCTATTAAATGTTTAGTAACTTATCTGGTTATTCATGTATGTCTTTGTCATTGGTTTTGGTTTTTTTTTTTTGTTTTTTTTTTTTGCTCTGTTGTAAACATTTTGCTTTCTTTGTTACCCTTCAAGGCACTGATTAATAATAATAATAATAATAGTAATAGTAATACTAGTAAAGTTGGAAGGGATCTTGGAGGTCATCTAGTCCAACCCCCTGCTCAGGCAGGAAACCCTATAGTACAATTTCAGACAAATGGCTGTCCAGTCTCTTCTTAAAAACTTCCAGTGTTGGAGCATTCACTGCTTCTGGAGGCAGGTTGTTCCATTGGTTAATTGTTCTCACTGTCAGGAAGTTTCTCCTTAGTTCTAGGTTGCTTCTCTCCTTGGTTAGTTTTCACCCGTTGCTTCTTGTCCTGCCTTCTGGCGCTTTGGAGAATAGCTTGACTCCCTCTTTGGGGCAGCCCCTGAGATATTGGAAGACTGCTATCCTGTCCCCCCTCGTCCTTCTCTTCATTAAACTAGCATACCCAATTCCAGCAGCCGTTCCTTATATGCTTTAGCCTCCAGTCCCCTGATCATCTCTGTTGCTCTTCTCTGTGAGCCTTAGAAAGGCTCAGCTTAAAAATAGCAAGAAATGAAGCCCACATTGGCCCCTGGTTTCAACCATCTTGCCTCACGCTGCCTTGCGATATTTCTTTGCATAAACTTTTCCCAGTGTTCTCAAGGCTTCAGCACAGTGGCTTCGCTTGGGATACAGCCGGCGAAAGAACCGTCCAGAACCTCTGCGTTACTCACCACTCTTGCAAGTCTTTGCAAGGGCCAATAAATCTAAATAAACATTCCTCTAACCTTGTGACCGAAGGAGACTTGAGTTGCTCCTCTGAAGGACTGCTGAGGTTGGAGATATGCTGGCAGGGAGGACAGAGTTTATAACCGGCACTAAAAAGCTTTCTCATTATTCATTTATTCCGTAGATGCATCTTTGTTCAATAAACTCGCAGTGTGTCGGTGTGTGCCTTCCCTGCCCTGCAGATTTGCACACTGAAGCCAGACGGGTGGGTTGCAGCACATTGCCAAGGATGTACACACACTGCATTTTTTGTGAAAAAGCAGAGACCCCCTGTAGTGCCCCTGGGTGCGGGTGGTGGGGGGAATGACTTGTCATCTAGCCTTTGGCAAAGATAGAATCAGTCTTCACGGCTGATTAAATGGGTTGGGTGTTGAAATTTTTGGGCGAAGAGGAGGGGTGAGGATGCCTTTGGTGCTGGGCTCCACGCCAAAGCCATTGCTAAATGGGTGCACCTTGAATTTGGGTACTTATTACCTTTCTTTCTTTCTTCTTTCTCTCTTCTTTCTTTCTTTCTTCCTTCCTTCCTTCCTTCCTTCCTTCCTTCCTTCCTTCCTTCCTTCCTTCCTTCCTTTCTTCCTTCCTTTCTTCTTTCCTTCTTTCCAAACTGCTTGAGTTGAGGTTGGAGAAAGATTGGATAAATATCTTTCTTTGTCTCTCTCTCTCTCTCTCTCTCTCTCTCTCTCTCTCTCTCTCTCTCTCTCTCTCTCTCTCTCTCTCCATCAAGCATGCTCTCAAGAAGATAGTTGCCAATCTGAGCCAGTATTTTGAGTTGTGTTCCACACTGGCCCAAAGATTGATTTGGAAGGTTGGTGACGAGGACTTTGGGAGATTGTGTATGACGTTAGAGGTTTGTAATGTCGGGGTGGGAACGGAGCTGGCATTTCAACCCTGAGCTACAGATATTCTCCTTTATCGGGAAATCTTCAAGTGCCTTCCAGATACTCTTAAATGCAGTTAGTATACAATTGCCAGGTTTTAGTGTGTGTGTGTGTGTGTGTGTGTGTGTGTGTGTGTGTGTGTGTGTGTGTAAATTTAGATTTTGCTGACAGAGTTAAAGGGAAACTAGTATAGCTGTTTCAAGCTATTTAGCTCTCATCAGCTAGCCATACCCTTCTGAGATTCGAACCTGGGCAGCTTGTATGTTAGGCAGCTGTATTAACCTCTAGCCCAGGGCTTTTCAACCTTTTCACCCATTGTACCACTTTTAGGATACGGCAACATCTGAGTACCACCAGTCGCCTAGCAAGGTGTCAAAAACTTCATGACCCCCCCCCAAAGGAAAAAAGTGATAAAGTACAGGTAGTCCTCGACTTACAACAGTTTGCTTAGTGACTGCTCGAAATTACAGTGGCACTGAAAAAAGTGTCCCCCCAAGTCACAGCCGAGCAAGACACTTGCCTGCCCGCCTGGCGGCGCTCTTCGTCCTATCCGAGGTTTTCATTGTTGTGAGCATTTCTGTTGAGGATTGGCAGCAGGGATGGGGTGGGGGTTGTTTGGTTTTTCATTCCCCCTGTCTGCTGGGTGATTGCAGCAGGTTTTGGTCACTTCACATGACCCTGGGACACTGTGACCGTCATAAATATGAATCAGTTGCCAAGCATCTGAACGTAAATCACAAGACCCTGGAGATGCTGCAACATTCCAGCTGATCGGCGTTTCTTCTGGGCTCAGCAGAAGGGCCAGGATCAGTGCTGCTTTCCAGCTGATTGGTACTTCTTCAGGGCTCAGCAGAAGCCCCAGGATCAGCGCCGAGCTCCAGCTGGAGCCTGGCGCTGATCCTGGTGCTTCCACTGAGCTCTGACAGCCCTGCAACTCCAGCCGTCTCTCTCGCTCAGGCTTGTGCGGTGCTGCCCCCGGTTCAGCTCATTCCCCTCCCCCGCTACCACTTTTCTAGGATGGTCGCGTACCACCTGCCAGGTGCCAATGTACCACAGGTGGTACCCGTACCACTGGTTGAAAAGCCCTGCTCTAGGCCCTTCTCACTTCTGTCAGCTGAAGCCAGGGAGAATATATAGCGTTTTCCAGTGAAACCTGTCTAATAGAGCACCTGGTCTACTGTTACAATTGCTTTTGCCTTTCAGCCCCAGTCTAGGAGCCTTTTGCAGGCTCAAGTCGCTACTGCGATAAATATAACCTGATTCGCTGAGTTCATGCTCATCTCACACAACTGTCCTTTTTCCTTCTGAGCAGATGGGTAAAGCTGGGCGGTTCCCTTGGGTTTCATAGGTACTTTGCATCCAGGTGAGTGAGCAGCCTCCAATTCCCCCTTCCCCCCCCTGCCGTTTTCCACTCGGGCACCTGAGAACAGGTGTCTCGGCACCTTCCTGATTAACCGTTATACTTGCTTGCCTCCTCTTTAGGGTGACCGCATCTCATCCTATCTATTTCCCTTTCAGATTCCTTTGTTTCTTCCTCTCAGCCTGTCTCTCTCTTTTCGACCTCACAAGGCAAGTCTGTCATTTATCTTGTACACCCCCACCCCACCCACCCACCCACCCACCCTTCGCTTCTGAAAGAAAAATGTTGAAAGAGGCTGTAACTGGGGACCAGAAAAGGTTTTCCTTTTCTCGGTCAGCCCGCAAACCCTTTTTCAGGACTTCCGGTGCTGCTGCGTGAGGCTACGGTCCTTCGGATGTTCGTCCACGGCTTTCCCGAAAATCATTTCTGGCCAAACGCTAGATATTGAAATTGGAAGCAGCAGCAACAAAGGCTTTTGAAACGTTGGTGAAGTCCCTTTGCTGAGCCTAGGATCCGATGGACCAGTATTGGCAAGGAGTTTTCCCACCCCCCAAAAAGGAAAAAATTAGGTTGCATCCGTTAGCGAGGCCTTTTCCATGAATCCAAAAATGGATAATTTTCTGATCGACGTGATTCCGTTCGGCGGGGAAAGAGATAGGTGTGCTGATGGCAGTAGAGAGTTCAGTCCGCAAAGCTGGAGGAAAACCTAACGCCAATCATCGTCTAAACATAATGAAGCTTTGACCGTTTAAGAAGGATCCAGATCTCAGTTTGGCTTTTTGTAGGCTTCCGAGTGACTAAGCCATGCGCTTTCCCCAAGCAAATCTCCCTTGCCAAAGTTCTTTTTTCCTGTCTGGGTTATCTTTCCCATAGGCCCAACAAATGTGAAGAAGGCTAGATTGGGAGAGGAGGATCTGTAGCAGTGATTCTTATACAGATAGTCCTCAACTTACGACAGTGACTGTTCAGTGTTACAACGGCACTGGAAAAAGGGACTTCGGACCGGTGTTTTTTTTTTCACACTTAAGACCGTTGCAGCATTCCCTGACGGTCACGTGATCAGAATTCAGATTCTTAGCCACCGACTCCTATTTATGACGGTCGCAGTGTCCTGAGGGGGTCACGTGATCTCCTTTTGTAACCTTCTGGAAAGCCAGATTGACTTAGCAGCCGTGTGACTCCCTTAACAAAGACATTGGCTCCCTTAACACCTGTGGCAGGAAAAGTCATAAAATGGGGCTAGAACTCACAACAACAACAACAATAATAATAATAATAAGTTGGAAGGGTCCTTGGAGGTCATCTATTCCAACCCCCTGCTCAGGCAGGAAACCCTATACCACTTCAGACAAATGGCTTTCCAGTCTCTTCTTAAAAACTTCCAGTGTTGGAGCATTCACCTCTCCTGGAGGCAGATTGTTCCACTGGTTAATTGTTCTCACTGTCAGGAAGTTTACTTAGCAACATAAAGTTTGGACTCCATGGTGGTCGTAACTTGAGGACTGTCCGTACGCAACCAGCTTCATTGCTCTGAGCATCCTGCATATATTCCCAAACAGCTGAGATGTGTCCTGTGGGTGTGCATTTCTTCATTGGTGAGAGCAATGGTAATTCACATTTCGTGGTGCTACACCCTGGAGCCCACAAAGGATTCTTGGTGGACCTTCCAAAAGTTCTGACGTCTCCCAACAAAGGACAATTGCTCATGTTCCTGAAGGCCATTTTCAATTGCCCAAAACCACACCAGCTTTCGCCCTTCCCATGAGGTTACCCAAGAGAGCTGAAATCCTTTGGGATTTAGAGATTTCTCAACCTTCGTGACAATTTAATTTTTAACTTTTGAGGGACTGAGCAAGAAGCTTCCTAGGATTGTCTCAGGTGTCCTTGTGGTGCAAATGGCAATCATTGGATTTTCCCAACCTCTGAGATAGTCAATGGGGGATATTTGAAATTGCAAACGAAGTCATCAGCAGTAGCAGCACAAAGTTGGGAAGACTTTATTGTGGGCTGTGTCCAGAGCAGATAAGAGAGGCCCTCTCCTACACTTGTCAAAGCTTTTGTGTGAATCTGTCACAGTATCAGTAGACTTGAGGCGTTGAGCTGTACAAGTAGCATACTCCGTCTTTGGCCCTCAAGAAACTTGATGGTCAAGAAAGGTAATCTTCCACTATCATATCTGAGAGAGGAAAAGAATTCGAATTCATGCAGAAGGTCCCATTCTTCCGAATCCTGGGCAGGTCTTTGCCCATGTAGACCAGATCTACACAAGGTTGGGATGAAACCAGAGAAAAATGGCGTCGCTGAAGATGCCACAGTTCCATCCTACGCGACAACGATGCTCTTTTATTAGTACGTGTTTGCAGGTGTGTTTGTGCACACCTGCCTCAGAGCGTTCTCACCTTCTGGAAAAGAACGTTTCACCTTGATCACAGTCCCAAATTGGTTCTGGCCACGAGGAGGCTACTGTTTTCTAAGAGAAGCCTACCTGAGGCTCCGTAGGAAGAGTGGGAGGCTGTGGCCCTCTGGATATTTATGAACTATAACTTCCAAAACCTGGCCACCTCTGAAGGGTTGGCACTTTTGACCCTCCTGGCAGAAGCTTATCAGCATAGCACCTTGCACCTTGCCTTCTCAGAGACTGGGTGCTTCCGTAAAAGAGGTTTTTTTAAAATGTCCATAATTGTAGTCTGCGCCTTTCGAACTGCTGTAGGAAGTAGGAAGCTGCCCCCAAAGAGAATTTGGGGAGGGGGGGTGTTCAGGAGCGGGAAAGCAGTTACAGCCTTTTTTCCCCCTTTTTCTTTTTTTCCCTTTCCTTTTGGGAAACCTGCTTTTTCTTCCCTCCACGTCCAGTGTTGAGACCCAGCCTGGCTACCAAGCGCGGAAATGTTCCTCTCCATTGGTGCCGTGATTATGACGTGCTCTGGCTTGTGTGGCTGCTTTTTCCACGCTTGTGTTTTTTGCGTTCATTGATTTCTTCCACCTCTGCTCTTGTCTCCTTAAGCTTGCTTTTTTAAAAAAAAATTATTTCCCAAAAAAATATCGAACGCCAAAAAAAAATGGTTTAGTTTGGAAGGTTAGCAAAGGCTGAGGTGGTTGTAGCAATAGCAAAGAACAGGTGAGTTATTGTCCCAGGACAAAATGTTGAGAAGGGCGCTGGGGAGGATGGGTAGGACTCCATAGACTGACTTAGCCTCCGTCTGCAGCAGTAGCACCAGGTGTCATTGGGGTCATTGTTGTCCCAGAACTGAAGAAGCTTCTTGGATGAGAAGCGAAACCTCTTCAAAACAAAGGAAGTCCAGTTGCTTTTGGGAAAAACGTTTTTGGGACAGTAGCACCCAGGTTGCTGGTCTGTGATGGTTGGATTGGATTTCGTATTTTACAAACCTAGCCAGTATGACTCTGGTTTATTTTATAAATCTTGATTAAGCCCGCCATTATTTGGGATGCAACGTGAAGCCGGGTTTAGGAGCACTGAATGGTTTCCTTCATTCGTCGCTGTTTGCGAATGACAGGGTGTCCACGTTTATGACCCCAAAGTGATGCTAGCTAGGAATCCTGGGAGCTGTAGTCCTCTGGAGGCGGAGTGCACCGGCAAAGCCAGTTTTAGCTTTCGTCATTCTGAGCCCTCTCGGATTAATTCTGTTTTGAAAGCTTTAATCCAAGAATTTTCCAGCCTCTGGTTGATCTTTCCATCTCTCGTCTCTCCAGTGAACACATCCAAGGAGTTTCTTAAGATCTTTTTAGAATAACAGAGTTGGAAGGAACCTCGGAGGTCTTCTAGTCCAACCCCTCCTGTTCAAGGCAGGAGACCCTATACCATTTCAGACAAATGGTTGTCCAATTTGCTCTTCTTAAAAACCTCCAGTGATGGAGCACCCCACAACTTCTGAAGGCAAGTTGTTCCCCCCGGTTGATTGTTCTTGCTTCCAAGGTCTCCCAATTCACAAAATAAAGTTTTTTGACCTTGAACAGGCTGAGCTACAGGCTGGTTTCCAATGAAATAGACTTCTTTCCAAAACAGCTTATCTGCCATTATCGGACCAGCTTGGGGTGACCATTAAGGAGCCACCCAGGGCATCGTGCCCCTTTGGGAAGGCATTTGAAGATCACTCTATTCATTCAATAATATCTGGATTGATCTTAGCCAGTGGTTCTCAACTCGTGTTCCACGGACCTCTGAGGGGCTGCGATGTTGCCACGGAGTCCACGAAGGCTTGAAAAAAATTATGATTTAAGTCTTGGGGGTCTGTGGCCACAGAGGTATTGAAAGGGAGTCCATAGTGAAGAAAAAGTTGAGAACCACTGGCCTAAACTCTTTCCAAAATGGGAGGTGATCTAATGATAGCCAGCATTTCTCAGATGCAACAGCAAACGCCTTTTATTGCAACAATAGATGCCCATTAATATAATGCTTCCAAGAAGTGGACATTCCTGTGTAGCTATTGTGACTAATAAACTACGAGTAGATGTCCTCACTTTGACTCATTGGTTTGCAACCAAGAAGGTCATAAATTCTGCAAATGAATCATCCATGAAACATCGTTTTTTTGTCGGGGGGGGGGGGAACACCATCTTCTGAGTTGGAGGTGACACCTAAGTCAACTTTCTCTAACCTGGGAATTTAATTCAGTGACCCAATCAAAACGAGGATATTTCTCTGGGTGAGAAGCCACCAATTCTTGAGGTTGGAATTGAAAGCACTGGTGCGTTTGGCCTCCAGATTTTGGTTAAATCCCTTCCATTTTCCTGGCTTTTGCTGAGTGATTAAAGCCACGGATTGCTACGGTAACATCTCTTAATTTTTTTAAAGGAGGCCAGTGAGAATGACTCTGTTTCTCGTAGGGCCTCTGACTAAGCACCGATATTAAGCCAAAGGTGCCTCGCTGCCTGCAAGAACATTTAATTCTGCTGAAGGTCGTTCCCTATCAAGATAAGACTTTAGATTTCATTTAAATTGGTGGCATCAATTAGCCAGACATTGGACTTCTTGTCTGTAACAGAACCTGTGTCCCTGCCAATCAAGGTTTCATACAAAACCAATTTTATCTACCATACTTAGAACCACATTTGCAGATCTGTGACACCTTTTGCAGTAACTTGTTCATGTTCTCCCTCCCTCCCTCCCATTTATCTAGCATCTCAGAACTCTACTTTGAGAAGGCCACAACTTCATGAGATCTTTGATAAGAATTTGAGCACTCTTGCCTGAGTCTTTTTTTTTTTTTTTAATTCTTAACAGAGCTGAAATCTTACAAGACTGCAGAATTGGGTGAAAATTCTGGCCTGGCGGTATTGTTAGAGCTTAATTTTGTGTTTGGGAGGACAGCCGACAGCGGTGGGCTTCGGAGAACCATTGCCAATAGCCAACAAAACATCTCTATTTCTGCTTGTTGCGTGGCGAGATATTTAAGGCAAACCCCCCCCTCCCCTCCCAGGATTTGGACTCTGCTCTTCAAATCTTTTTTTTTTTTTTAAAGTGTGGAGTGGTGGGGGGTTTAACTTAGGAGTGTTCATTCTCTCTCTTTTTCTCCGTGCAAAATGTACTGTACTTCTGGGATAGACCCCTTCATTATCACGGCAGAAAGCGCAATTTTGAAAGCACAGGACACCCTTTCAAAGAAGCTGGTATGGAAAAGGGAAAGTTTTTTTCTGGGCTCCTCTCCCACGTTAAAAGTCTTTATTTTGGGTCCCCGTTGCAACTTTTAGCCCAGATGTTTTTCCGGCAGATTGAAGAATTGTTGAAATGCAAATAATCGGATTTACCTTTAGGCTGAATTGCCTTGAGCAACTGTGAGGCTGCCTCACGTATATCCTTTGCCCAGGCTTGTTCTGAGAGTTCAGTTCACAGGTGTGTTTCCAGGTGTCCAACACTAAACACTTCATGTTCAACAACGAAGAGGGAAAGCGTTGGAAGGTCACACTATAGAAGTGCCTTGGTTCAAGCTGGGGCATATTTCTTAGCTGGCTTCCCGTTGATCGGTGGTGCATTTGGGCGATCAGATATTTGTGATAAATGGTGAGGTGTGTACTAAGGCTGTAGAAACTGCCTTTACTTTAGATCAGGGGTAGGAAATTCTTTTATGACTTGTGGACTTCAACTCCCAGAATTGCTGAGGGGAAAGGGAGAGGTTTCCAAGCTGAGCTTCGCTGGCTCAGGAATTCTGGGAGCTGAAGTTCACGAATCATAAAAGAGCCAAGGTTGCCTAGCCCTGCTTTAAATCTAAAGGGGAAAAAGAGATTAACCTAGTCCAGGGGTAGGCAACCTTGGCTCTTTTATGACTCGTGGACTTCAACTCCCAGAATTCCTAAGCCAGCATGGCTCAGCTTGGAAACCTCTCCCTTTCCCCTCAGCATGACTGGCTCAGGAATTCTGGGAGTTGAAGTCCACGAGTCATGAGGGGGCCAAAGTTTCCCTCATGCTGGCTCAGGAGTTCTGGGAGTTGAAGTCCACGAGTCATAAAAGAGCCAAGGTTGCCTAGCCCTGACCTAGTCTCTTCCCTTAACTCCTAGAGAACATAGTTCTTACAAAAAGATTCCTTGAGAATAAAATAAGACCGAAGAAAATATTTGCAACTCATGGTTGAATTCTGGAGAGCAAACCCATTCACTTGAAGCACCGATAATGTTATCTAGTTGGGTCATAAAACGTCCCAAAGAAAACCACCAAGCTTGTTAGGTTAGTAACAAGGTTAGTGGTTGTGAAGGGAATCTGGCATCCCCATTAACTTTGCTGGCCAGGAAGTCGCAAAAGGGGATCACGTGACCATGGGGATGCTACAACGGTCATAAGTGTGAAAATTTCCCCAGTGTCGTCGTATCTTTGAACATTCACTAAATGAACTGTGGTAAGTCAAGCCTTAGTAGTAGCACAAGCTAGATGGGGTAGAACAGAGGTCTTCAAACTTGGCCCTTTGATGGCTTGTGGACTTCAACTCCCAGAATTCTGTGAGTTGAAGTCCACCAGTCATAAAAGGGCCACGTTTGAAGACCCCTGGGGTAGAATTAAGTGTGATCCTAAATAGCCATAGAAATAAGACACACTGCGAGGTGAGACCCAGGTCATAGCATTCCTACAACGTCTGATCTTCACGCCCCCGACCAACCTTCTACAATCTGTGGAGGCGTTTATTTGCATTTGAGGGGGGGCTGCTTCTGTTCACCTGCCCAGCATGACCTGTTCGTTTGCCTTTCTCTCTCTGGCTGACTTCAGTTGTCTTCCTTCCGTGAAATTAAATGTTGGTCCCATTTTTTTATGTTTATGTGGATCGCAGCTTCCCAACAAAGTTCCTGTCCGCCCGGTGATGGACTCATGCATGCGCGCAGAATTTGATAGGGTAGAATTGTGGCTTTTGTTTCGTTACGAGCATGTTGCCTGCTTGATTGTGGAATTTTGTCACAAGATCCTGTGTGCGTATCTCTCTCTCTCTCTCTCCTTCTCCCCATTTAAATCGGGGAGTCTTCTTCGGCAAGGTTCAGCTTGCTGGATGCAGTTCCCTGCTCCTGTCCTGTCTTCTCTTCCATCAGCTGGAGTTTATTTAACCCATTCTGGAAATCAGAGGGAAGCGAACAGCAAATCTACCCTCTCCAAAGACCAGCAGGAAGCCTTGGAAGGACCAAAACAAGGAAGCATCCCAGGGACCAATGACGGTTCAAGAATAGAGACCGTTTCTGTGGGATCTCCTCGCCTAATGGAATTGCCCTTTTCTGCCGGATCCAAAATGCACAGCCGTGGCCCTGTCACGGAAGCGGCTTCTCCGCGGGAGAGTGAGTTCAAAGGAGCTGGTCCTCCAGAGGATAAGACTGATCTGAACGGATGCAAGCCAGACGAAGAACGAGCTTCCAACGGCAAATTTGCACTGTTGGCCAACTTGGAAGATGAACTCGAGCAGGTTCCCGCTGGGATGCTCCATGCACATTCCAACGCGTCTTCCAGGGAGACTGTTGAGCCACCCGTGGAAAAAGATTCTCCCGAATCTCCGTTTGAAGTCATTGCTGACAAGCTGGAATTTGATAAGGAATTCAAAGATGTGGTGAGCTCCAAGGACATTGGGAGCAACTGGGTGATCCATGGCGAAAGGGAACAGTTGACAGACATTCCAGAAGACCGCATTTGCGAGTTCCAGGCCAAGCCGCGTAGCTGTGGCCGGCTTCCTTCGGGACCAGGACTCTCTCGCCAGTCCTCGGGCACGACTGCGGCCCTGGAGGAAGTCTCCAAATGTGTTCGTGAACTGCACACCTTCACCAATGAGCTGCTTAACTGGGACTTGATCCCCAAGGATCTGGAAGGCAAGACAGATGACGTTATCAGCTCGGGCTTTAAGGCCTCGCCCACTGAAAAGAGCAGCGGTGTTCCAGAACCCATGGTGAGCCCTAGCGGTATGGAAACCAGCAAAGCTTCTGCTCCTCATCAGCCTGTGACAATCAGCCTCCACCAGAAAGGCAAGCCGTCTCTACAAGTAGTCAAGAAACAAGCCATGGTTGGCCAAGGCGTAGCCATGGTTGGCCAAGGCATAGCCGTGGTGAAAAATGCTCTTCCGGAAGCTGTCGCGATGAAAGACGAATCCTCTTGGCCAAATCCATGCTTGCCTGAAACAGCTGATGCGGATAGCTCTGGAGAATCCGATGACACGGTCATAGAAGACGCTCCGGCGAACCTGGTATTCCCGAATAAGGCTGTGGTTGAGAATTGCCAGGCCTTCTCCAAACTCACCAGCTCCTCTGAAGCAGAAATTGTGTATATAGATGATGATGATGACGAGGCCTCTGATGAGCTTCTGGAAGACCAGATGGCTTCCCAGGCTTTAGAAAGCCGTTGGAGATTCACCGATGAGTTCAAAGCAACCCAGGCTGAGTCTTATGCTGCTAGGCAGCAACCGTCGGCTGCATCCCAGCCCTCCAGAGAACCTGGTCCAAGTGCACCGTCTAAAGCCAAGCAGGTGTTCGATGCTGGGGAACTGGAGGTACCGAGGAAGACTCCCAAGGCCGAAGGTCTTTCGAGAAAGACCCCTTTGGACAGCGTCAAAGGGGTGGTGTGCCCAGACGGGCTAGGCCCGGAGAGTTTTATGGACTTCATGAAGGAGTGCTTAAAATCCAAGGGGGCCGAATCCCCTGAAGACACTGTGGAGATGTTCTCAGAGATGGAGCTGAAGGCCGCCCGTTCCCAAGGGGCATCGCCCTACTTCCAGCAGCCACCCCAAGCAAAGCAAGATTTTGAACAGGAGCACCTCACCATCACAGCTCTCAAAGAGGCGGGGAGGAAAGCTGAGATGGACAGACCCACGCTATTCTCTCTCCCCAGAGGGAGGCATCCTGGACAGTACTGTGAGATCCTGCCTGAGGCTACGGCATCTGCTCCAAAGTCTGCCTTGGAGAAGAGACCTCTCTGCCTTGAGCAGGCCGTCGACGTGATGCTGGCTCCCGCCAGCGTCGGCCTTGGGAAAACCTCCCAGCCTCTTCCTCCCAAGCCGTCTGTACTACACACCTTTACAAAATTACTGGCTGAATTCTCAGGTAACCACATGGGAAGGTAATGACTGTGACATGCATGTGGCTCCCTGCGTAACAATGGATGTTGTGTTATTTATTTCCACTGGGATGACAGTGGCTGCTTGGATAGGCTTAGTATTAATTTTTTTCTTCTTATTCGTAAAATCTAACGGTCACCTGGCTTTTCTTAATAATAATCAGCACTCCTACGAAGTTCCAGTCTATTTGTCTGGTTAATTTTACGGTTTTCAAAGACACTGTTTGTCAGGAAGGAGGAAAAAAAAAGTCCTTTTGCTTTCTAAAAATACCATCCCATTTATCCGTTTAAAACTTTCTCGTTAAGCTTTTGGCTTCTAAATTGAAATTCTTTTTAAGGTAGTATTAAGTATTAAGATAGTATATGCCTCCAGAAATCGTGGGCGCTCCATCACTGGAGATTTTTAAGAAGAGGCTAGACAGCCACTTGTCTGAGACGGTATAGGTTCTCCTGCTTGAGTGGGGGGCTGGACTAGAAGACCTCCAAGGTCCCTTCCAGCTCTATTCTTACTATTTTTTCCCCCCTCTACTTAATTCCAAAATGAAGGCAACTCTCCAAGTCTCTTTCGTTCTTTTGGAATTTCTCTCTTAAGCTGTAAATTAGTTGTATCCCAAAGTGTTTAAGAACCTGAGGTTTTTGTAGGTCATATCCATAAAGGCTACGTGACTATTTTGGGGGCACACCTTTAGATTTCCTTAGCTCTTGTCAGGCGCAAAAGACCAGATCCACATGCAAAAGAATGAAAGAAAGAATTAAACTGGTTCATTGCTAAAAGCCTGTGCACAGGAACCTTCTCAACTAACAATCAGCACCTGCTTGGAATTAGATAAGGCTGAACGGAATACAATGGAATTCAATACTTAGTCTGCTTATGGCTATGTAGGGATTCTAGGCTGATTCCTCTTTTGACTCCTCCTCCAGTTTCTGCCATTCCTCCTCCAGCTCCCCGAGCTATTCAATGCACAATCGAATGCAAGAAACTCAATTCTTGAAATCTCCTCAAAAGGACTAACTATCCGGAGTTCAGGAGGGTGATCTCTCCTGATCTCTTCCTTCTCCGGAGAGAATTTCATCAGCCAGATCCTGCTGCCTGGCTGCCAATTTCGCCACAGTTTTTTCCCCACTCATGAAATGCTCACAGAGAGACAGTTGAACTGCATAGGCCCTCACCAAAAGTGTCCCGATCAGTCACTAAGTTAGAACTCTCTAGACAAGAAGTACCGGTAATCCTCAAGTTAAGACCACTCGCTTGGTGACCGTTACAGTGGACCCCCAAAGCCACTCACAGCCTGATTTTGAAGTTTATAATGGCTCCACACCCACACACACCCACACACAGAGTCACGTGTGACTGCAATTTCTGATGCTTTTTGCCAATTTCTGGCGTCCGCTTTGGGTTTTTTTTTTCCAACAAAAGATGCCCAGTAGGTAAAATGGATTCGCTTAATGACTGCTGTGTTTGCTTAGGGACTACAATGACTTACGACCGACCGTAATTTTGGGCCAGTCGTGGCTGTAAGTGGAGGACTGCCTGCAACGTATGGTGGAATAGCGTTCCATAACTGCACCTCGTAAACTATTACCAGTGAATTTGCAATTTTTTTTAATCCAGTGAATATTTCCGATAATCAAGGGGGGGTTGGACTAGAAGATCTCCAAGGTCCCTTCCAACTCTGTTCGTGTGTTATTCTGCTATTCTTTTTTCCTTCCTTCATTCCTTCCTTCCTTCCTTCCTTCTCTTTCTCTTCTCTTTTTCTCTTTCTCTGTCCTTCCCTCCCTCCCTTCCTTCCTTCTTTCCTTCCTATCTTTTTCTCTTCTCTTTTTCTCTTTCTCTGTCCTTCCCTTCCTTCCTTCCTTCCCCATCCCTGGAGGTTTTCAAGAAGAGATTGGACATCCGTTTCTCTGAAATGGTATAAGGACTCCTGTCTTGAGCAAGGGGTTGGACCAGAAGACCTAAAAGTTTCCTTCCGACCCTACAATTCTATGTTCTATTTTTTTATTATTGGGGGGGGGAGCCATCGTGTGATTTTGCATAACTGTCAAAGCGTGTGAGAAAAGAGAGCTGGAGAAAGAGAAAGACCCCGGAGCTAAACAGTATACCTAAAAACAGAATCTGGCAAAACTGGAATTTTGTTTCTCTTATGTTCCCACCAAGTATCCTGAGGATGTGCCATGCAGTGTGTGTGTGTGTGTGTGTGTGTGTGTGTGTGTGTGTGTGTGTGTATATATATATATATATATATATGTATATATATATATATATATATATATATATATATATATATATATATATATATGTGGTTTAGGCAGGGAGGGGTGTAAAAGATAAAAGAGATATTTTTGATATTCAGAAAAAATGTGGGCTGAATTTTGGGAGATTGCATCTTTAGCAATTCCAGTTAGAGATAGAGAGGGCGTGCACACACGCGCGCGCGCACACACACACACACACACACAGTCTCTCTCTCTCTCTCTCTGTGTGTGTGTGTGTCTCTGTCTCTCTTTCTCTTTCTGTGTGTCTCTTTTTCTCTCTTTTTCCCTGTCTGTCTCTTTTTCTCTCTCTCTCTGTCTCTGTCCCTCTGTCTGTCTGTCTCTCTCTCTCTTTTCTCTTTCGGTCTCTCTTTCTCTCTCTCTCTCTTTCTCTCTCTCTGTCCCTCTCTCTCTGTCTCTCTCTCCTCTTTTTAGGTCAAGGAGCCCCAAAAGGATGTGCTTTTTATAAACTTATTCTTGGCCAGCTGCCTGTGGCCCACGTACCCCTCAAGGGGGAGTGGGAATCCCTCCCATCCAAACAGAGGAAGCCTTGTGTTGGGTTATAAATGCTTCTTCTGTGCTGCTCCGATGGGTCTGGATGCTTTTGGGCTGGGGGATACATTGGCTGGGACTAGCCTCCACATGCTTTTCTGCGTGCAAAGAGTTTCTCCAGATCTGTGCCTTAGATGGGACCCCCAGCGTTCAGTAACACAGAATAGTTTTTGAGGAGGGAACAAGGAATGGTCATTTTCCACTTACAGTTAGTCCTTGGCTTACAACCATTTCATTTAGTGACTGCTTGAAGTTATAAAGGCACTGAAAGAAGGCCGTGTTTCGCACTTGCAGCATCCCCGCGGTCACGGGATCCAAATCCGGCCACGGGCACGTACTTACGACAGTCCCGGCGTCTAAGTGCAACCTTGCTTAAGCGAGTTTTTGTCCCGTTTTGCAACCTTTCTTGCCACCGTTGTTAAATGGATCCGAGCAGTTAAGTCCAGTCGCACGGTTGTTAAGTGAATCCGGCTTCCCCGTGGACTTTGCTGGTCGGAAGGTGGCCAGAGGGGACGGACCGCGACCATCATAAGTGTGAGTCAGTCACCAAGCGTCTGAATTTTGATCCTTTGGGATTCTGCATCAGTGTGAAAAACAGTCACTGGGTACTTTCTTTGGCTGCTGTTGGGAATTTGGTCACTCAGTGACCTGTAGTAAGTCGAGGACTACCTGGGGTTGATATTTATTCTGATTTATTTTCAAATCTAGACGCTGCTCGTCTAGCTGGGTTTCCCCTGCAGGGCTGATGCCTTCAGTTTTGCGCTGGGTCCTCCCGTCTTTTCCTTGCGGTGTTCCTGATCCTCCACTAACGGCCGGCCTCCCCTCTTCTCCCTTTGTCCCCAGTGCGAGATCTGGTCTTCTGGAGGGATGTCAAGAAGACAGGCGCCGTCTTCAGCACCACCCTGATCTTGCTGCTGTCCCTGGCTGCCTTCAGCGTCATCAGCGTCGTCTCGTACCTCATCCTGGCCCTCCTGTCGGTCACCATCTGCTTCCGGGTCTACAAATCCGTCATCCAAGCGGTGCAGAAATCCGAAGAAGGCCATCCCTTCAAGTGAGCGAGCTTGGGTTGGCTGGGTCTTCTGCCCTCAGTTGCCCCTCTGCGAAATGGGCACATCCCAGACAAGAGCGTATTAAAAGTGTATTTATGGGGCACTATAAAGAATAGCCTCGTGTTTCTCGACCTCAGCCACTTTTCAGGTGGGTGGACTTCATCTCCCAGAATTCCCCAGCCAGCCTGGCTGGCTGGCTGGGGAATTCTGGGAGATGAAGTCCACAAGTCTTAAAATTACCAATTTGGAGAAACGGCCGTGTTTCAGAGCAGGGCTGTCTTGAATTTGAAATATTTGCTATGCCGCAGGGAGAAACAGGGTCTCTGTTACCGCAGAAGACGGTGGATATCTCTACACAGGTAATCCTCTACTTAGGACCAAAGTGGAGCCTACTCATTACGGCCGTAAAGCAGGTTTTCTTTGTGTGACCAGCCGGATTTTATGACATTTTGGGCTGTGGGGTTAAATGAATCGCCTTGGCCATTAGGCGATTCCACAGCCATTCAGTGAATTGTTGCTTCAGGAAGTATAAAAACTGCTTTTTGGCAAAAACGTAAACTGTGGCGCTATGATCAGAGGATGCTGCTAACAAAATAAATGTAGGCCACTCGCCGAGGACCGCCAAGTGTGAGCATCGGAAGTCCAGATCTGGGTTGCAAGTTGGGGGAGTTGTCTGCTGTAGCTTCGAACGGTCACTAAGGGGATCGGTCGTCAGCCGAAAACGCCCTGTGTTTCCTTAGCTGTGACACTCTGCCCTTTCCCTCCTCCTCCTCCTCAGAGCCTACCTTGACATGGACATCACCCTCTCCTCCGAGACTTTCCATCACTACGTCAGCTCCGCCCTGGACCACGTCAACCACATCCTGAAAGCCATCCTGCGTCTCTTCCTGGTGGAAGACTTGGTGGATTCGCTGAAGGTCAGCACCTGACCCAGGAATATGGGCCCACAGGGTGCTGAAATGCAAAGCTTTACCCTGGGGTTGGGGGTAACTCAGTGGGAAGCAAGACAAGGGACTTCCGTTCCCCACTCTTTATGGCAGGGGTCCCCAATCCCCGGTCCGTGGCTGGTACCGGGCCACGGCATGCCAGCAACCGGTCCGCACAAACAAGCACAGCCCCATCCGCGGGATACAGGCAGCACACAAAACCACGTACCCTCCGGTCCACGGAAAAACCTCTCTCCATGGAACTGGTCTCTGGGGCCCAAAAGGTTGCGGACCTCTGCTCTATGGGGCACAGTCTGACCGGCTTCCCACCCCACTTCTTAAACAGTTATGGGGCTGGTTGAGTTTGCGCTTGAGGTTGAAGTGTGTAATTATTGGGTACATTAAAATGTTTGAATTAAGCAGCCTCCCACATAAGCCGCAGGTGACCCTATAAGGCTGGCTCCTCTTTAGCCTTCTCAAAGGAGAAGGGGGTGCCACCCCCACCCATCTATCAGAGGAGTGATAGCCTAGTGCAGGGGTAGGCCAGCTTGGCTCTTTTATGACTCGTGGACTTCAACTCCCAGAATTCCTGAGCCAGCATGAGGGAAACTTTGGCCCCTTCATGACTCGTGGACTTCAACTCCCAGAATTCCTGAGCCAGCATGACTCAGCTTGGAAACCTCTCCCTTTCCCCTCAGCATGGCTGGCTCAGGAATTCTGGGAGTTGAAGTCCATAAGTCATAAAAGAGCCAAGGTTGCCTACCCCTGGCCTAGTGGTTAAGATGCTGGTCACCCGGAAGCTTGGCAGTTTGAGACCCGGGCGCCGTGTAACGGGATGAGCTCCCGTTCCTGCCTCAGCCGCTGCTCATCCATCCACTCGAAAGCATGCCAAATGCGAGTAGATAAATAGGTACCACTGGTGGGAAAGTAACAGCCTTTTAGGCACCTTTGCGACATAGCCATGCTGGCCACATGAGCACGGAAACGTCTTCGGACAACTCTTGTTTCCTCGGCTAAGAAACGGAGAAGAGCACCGTTCCCATGACTGGACAGGGGGAAACTTCTATCTTTGCTTCCTATCAAAGAGATTTGTCTGCCCCAGTTTCTCTTGACGATGCCTCCGGGCACATCTTCCTGCCCTCCCTTTCTTGCTAACTGTGCCCTGTCCTGTTTGGTCTGCAGCTTGCGGTCGTCATGTGGCTGATGACCTACGTCGGGGCCATTTTTAATGGGATCACCCTTCTCATCCTAGGTAAGTTGGCAACAGAGACACAGATGAATGCATGGAGGGCTTCCCAGTGACCAGGCAGGCAGGTGGCCGACCCCCCTGGCTTCCTTCATTTGCTTGAAGCACAGTTCCCCTGTTCTTTAATCTTCATTTAAGGTCAGGGGTCTTCAAACTTGGCCCTTTTATGACTTGTGGACTTCAACTTCCAGAATTCCAAAGCTGGCTGAGGAATTCTGGGAGTTGAAGTCCATAAGTCATAAAAGGGCCGAGTTTGAAGACCCCTGATTTAGGTATTAGATTTATATCCCAACTTTTGCAGACTGATTGGCCCCACAGCCTCTCCAGCATCAGGCTTCACTCCTTTTGATCTATAATGTCCCTCTTTTTTTTTCTTCTTCTTTTTTTAGGGGAATTGTTGGTTTTCAGCATGCCGGTCGTTTATGAGAAGTATAAGGTGGGTAGCTTCAGTCCCAAGAATTCTGGGCAAGCCATTCGGAAATAATAATAGGATGCGCATCTCCCAGGATGGCTGAAATAATGGGGCTTTGGAGAAAGTTGGTAGCTTGACAATATTAGAGGACTTTGGGCACTTTCCAGCTTTTTTCCCCCAGTATAAAACGGGCAACGGGGAATCGCAAACGTCTTCTCAAGCTTTGAAACTTGCAGAGAAGAGGGCAGTGTGTTCAAAAAAGGGAACAGAATTCACAATCCGATCTTTTGGGCATTTGGGCAGGTGATGGGTAGCTGGTTAGAACTGGAAAAGTAAATAAGAACAGAAAGCAGTGTACTTTATTTCTTTTTATCTTGAAATATGGAACACTGCCCCCATCCATTTTCAATATTCCCTCTTTTTTTGTGTGTGTGTAAATGGGGACACAAAATTAGAGGCTGGGTACCCATGTAGAAGGTATAGAGACAGTGATTCCCAAGGTTGGGCACTTTAAGACGTGTGGATTTCAAGTCCCAGAACTGCTGTCTGGGGGATTCTGGGAGTTGAAGTCCACACGTCTTAAAATGCCCACGGTTGGGATTCGCTGGCCCAAGAGGAGACGGAATTGGGTTATTCAAAGAAATGAGTGGTATAATGAAATATGGAATATGGGAATGATAAATTAACAACAGAAAATTAAATTTAAAAAAGGGATGATTAAAGTAAATACTTTTCATGAAATAGGGGAGGTTTTTATAAAAACAGTGTTGGTGGAAGGCAAAGGGAATAAACTTACTCAGGAATATATGCTGTTTTGGAGGGGACAAGGGCACAACTGAAACATATTGTATATTGTTAGTTGTTATATGAGAAGAAATGTAGGTAATAAAAATGGTCTCCAGGGGGGGTGATTGCACTGTAATATTTGTATTTTTATACTGTTTTTTTATTTAGACTTATATGTATTATGTTTGTATTATTTGTGTTTGAATTTAAAAAAAAAAAAGAATCACTGGTCTAAGATGATAGGGTAACAGACCAGAGTTATGGATGGACACGTATATTTTGATAATGTATCTTTGTATCCTTGACTGTCTTTCCGTTTCTTTCATCCTGTTGCTTTTGGTCCTCAGACTCAGATCGACCATTATGTCGGGATCATCCGGGATCAAGCCAACTCTGCTGTTACAAAGTGAGTCGCACGAAAGATAGTGAGCGATTTTGGGTCGTCTCCGAGGACCCAGGTGGAAAATGACAAGGCTTGGGCATGTAGTTGGGAGACACTACTTCTCCTCCCACTGCCAGCTCCTCAAAATTGGGTGGAAGTAGCTCAGGAAGGCTAAGGGGGCCTGTCCGAGGACGCCCCTTGGCAGCGTAAGAAGGCCATTGGCCAAAGTTGAGGTAGTTGGGCTTCACAGGGAGGGAGGGAGGGAAAAAGGAAGAAAAGAAGGGAAAGAGAAAGGGAGGGATGAATGGAAGAAAGAAAAGAAAGGGAGGGAAAGGAAAGGGATAGGGAGATGGGAGGGAAAGAAGGAAAGTAGATAGATAGATAGATAGATAGATAGATAGATAGATAGATAGATAGATAGATAGATACAAATGGATGGACAGATATGTATGTATAGATAATAGGGTAGATGGATGAATAATGGAGATAGATAGATAGATAGATAGATAGATAGATAGATAGATAGATAGATAGATAGATAGATAGATAGATACGGATGGATGGACAGATATGTATAGATAATAGGGTAGATGGATGAATAATGGAGATAGAAGATAGATGGATAGATAGATAGATAGATAGATAGATAGATAGATAGATAGATAGATAGATAGATGGATGGATGGATGGATAGATGGATAGATAGAGGTAGGTAGATTAGGTAGGTAAGTAAGGTAAGATAGATGGTTGGGTTGGAGGGAAAGGAAGGTAGGAAATAAATCTCACATTGGTGGACAATCAAAAATTGTAGCCTCCACATTTGACAATCTCAAAAACGGGGCCTCTAAAAAATAATTCAGGGATTATGGATATTAAAAATGCTCAAAGGGGTCTTAAGTTTCCTCCCCTTCTGTTTTCCCTTTATCTTTTTTTTTTTTTCCCCTCCCCTGGGCTGGTGAATGGCTCTCGAAAGAAAACTCCGAGTGCACATAGTCAGCTGAGCCTTGTTCCCGGCCCTCCATTCTTACTGTGCTTCTTTCTTCCCCCAGGATCCAAGCAAAGCTGCCCGGCACCGTGAAGAAAAAGGCCGAATAACCTCCGCCAGCCACCAAGAGACCCAGCCATTAATTGAAATCCACACCAACAACGAAAATACTCCCCTTGTGTCATGGCTATAATCACTGTTACTCGTATCTATGAAGGAACTTGCCAAGTTAGCTTGATGTCTGCGTTCCAAGCTTACTGATTGTGTTTTATTATTATTATATTATTATTATTATTATTATTCGTCCCTTTTCCCTCCTCCCCAAAGCCGAAACACTGAGCTCAGAATGCACTGGAATAATCATGAACTGGTTATCGCTGGTTTTTAAAAAACTTGAGAAGAAAGGACGGGGGGCCTTGAGAAAGAGCACAGTCCGACTGGGGAGGGGGGAATCCTTGGAGCGAAACACTCCCCCACCCCCGGGCCCTCAAAAGCAAGGTTGTCAAGAGGAGTGTCCTCAGTTTCCCCAAAAGGTGAGAAACCCCCTGGGTCGAAAGGATTTTTAACCCACCCAAGTATTTTCTCCTTCCCGAGTAAAATCTTTCGTTTTCCTTCCTTCTCTCCTAAACAACACCTGCCCGAATTCCATATTTTTTTCCCTGTGTGATCCTGAACTGAAAAAAATAGGTATCTGTAATGAATGGCTGTCCTTGGAGGGGGGGAAATCCAGTCCCCCCCTCCCTCCCCTTCCTCACCCCATGTTAGCCTCAAAAGATGGCAAGGAACCTTATGAGCCCTTAATATTTCCCCCCCCCTCCTCGCCCAGAGGGATTCTCGCTTCGTTCGTTCGGAGGGAGAAAAGCACGGGCGAAATTTAGATGCAGGAAAGTGGGAAGAGCCAGAGTTGGAGAGCAAAGAGGCTAGTCCTCCTGGAGGTGGCTTTTTAAGCGGGGGGGAGGGGGAGAAAGAGATGCAAACTTTTTAATTCCCCGGAATTTCTGTTGCTGCCTCCCCTTCCGGTGAAAGTGGAAACCGGGCTTAAAAGTGGGAGAAATAAAAGAGGTTGATCTGGGATGGACCAGCTGCATCTCTTGTTGAGGCTGAGTGAGTGAGGAGGGGTTTTTTTGGGGGGGGGGAGAGGAAGACCCCAGAAAGAAATCAGCAGCTGAATTGGGAGGATCGCCTTCCCACCAGAGGCTGCCTCAGTTTCCTCCCCGCAATCCACCTTTCGGGTCGCTGTGTAAAATTGGGGAGGGGGCCGCAGGCTCGGGAAGGGAAGAGCCTCAGCACATCAACCCAAAATCTTAGGCTTGGGGAAAGAGTCTCCCATCTGCCATCCCAGCAGGGCAGCTATGCCATAATTTCCCCCCCCCTCAAAGGGGCAAAGCTCCATGGGGTAGAGGCCAGGTTGGTTCTTGGGGTGCCATTCAGACCCTAGGAACCCCCTTCCCCATTGTTGAGAGCTGCATGCATTCCCCACACGTTTTTATGCCATCCTCTGCTCCCACCGAGACAGTTCTAGCTTCTTTCACCTCTTCAAAAACCACCGGCCTTTTTTCTCTATCTATTCCCCCCCCCCCTCCAAAAATACCCTTTTAAAAAGCCTTTTATTGCACTGGAAGCCTTCCACTCTGTGTTTCGACATCTGTCCTCTCACTGCTGTGCTTGACTATCGTGAACTGGCTGCCTTGCGCCCGGCAGACTTTATTTTTTTTTTCTCCCCCCCCCTTAAAAAAAATGTACGTAGATGGCAAAAAAACAAGAATTACCAACAACGCCCTTTGCATTCGATGTGCTTTATGGGATCGTGGCATGCCAGGAAACGTGGGTCCTTCTGGGGTTTTGAGGCACACGAAGAGGGGGGGGGGAGAGGATCTCAACTGTCCTTTGATGTGTTTAATAAAGGAGCACTTGGTGATCTGAAATCTTTGGTTCAAAAAAAAAAAAAAAAAGCAACACAAATCCAGGAAATTGGTGCTACTATCTTCAAGGTGACGCTTCACTCTACCTTGCAATTAAAAAATAAAGGCACTTCACCCTCTTTGGGATGGTGGTCCTTCCACCGTCACCTCAAATCTGCTGTGCTTTTGTTTTTAATTGCACAACAGTGTCAGCTAAAGAAGTATTTCTCAACTGCCCCATCCCTCGGAGAGTTTAGTGCAGTGGCATCAACCTAGAGATTGTGAGTTCTAGTTCCACCTTGGGCATGAAGCCAGCCAGGTGATGTTGGGCCGGCCCCTTTGTCCCAGCCCTCAGAAGGCAGCAATAGCAAACCACTTCTGAAAACCTGCAGGAAGCTACAGGACTGTCTCCAAGAATGGAGAGTTTGGGAGATTGCAAAAAGAAAAAAAAGCAGTCCGGTCATTGGTATTGTGCAAGAACAAGCCTGGCCAACCTTGCGTTTGTGTAACACAAGGCTCTCCAAACTTTGCAACTTTTAAGGCTTGTGGACTTCAAGTCCCAGAAGTCCCTAGCCCAGGGGGTAGGAAACCTTGGCTCTTTTATACCTCGTGGACTTCCAACGCCCAGAATTCCTGAGCCAGCCATGCTGAGGGGAAAGGGAGAGGTTTCCAAGCTGAGCCAGGCTGGCTCAGGAATTCTGGGAGTTGAAGTCCACAAGTCATGAGGGGGCCAAAGTTTCCCTCATGCTGGCTCAGGAATTCTGGGAGTTGAAGTCCACGAGTCATAAAAGAGCCAAGGTTGCCTACCCTTGCCCTAGCCAGCCATGCTGGGGAATCTTCAAGCCAACACTGGCTCGGGGATTCTGGGACAAATCTTAAAAGGTTGCCAGAGCCCCCTGGTCTAAGATGAGGAATATGAGGCCTTCCCTGGTTGTGGGTGCCGGGGTTAAGGCTCCATCCAAGGCTAGAAAGCCAAGCAGCTGATCATCCACTCCATTTTGGTAAAAACGGTCCTGGAAGGACACTGCGGTCACCTCAGCTGGACAACAGCTGAAGGCACAGCTACAGCCTCCTAGGACCAAAGAGAAAGCCAGCAAAGCAGCAAAAATTCATATATTTCTTTTTGATCCTTTTTGCCTTCCATAATTGCCCATTGCTCACTCTGCTCCCCCAGGACGGCTGGGATTCGAACTCGCTTCCTCAACCGCTAGCCGTTTCCCCTTGAAAATAGCCATCTGGGGGCTTTACCTCCAGTCTTACCAACTTGACCTCGTACTGCAAAATCGAATCCATTCGATCTACTTTTGTTTTCCAAACCCGCAGCAGCAAAAGGGAAAAAACTTGGAACCCCCAAAACATTTAAAAAAAAAAAAAAGGAACCTTTGGAATTGCATTTTAAAATAGCAGAACTTTTTAAAGGATTTTTTTTCTCCATAACCTGTTTTTTTTTACAAAACGTAGTGCTTATATATATAATATATATACTGTATATATATATATATACTATAAAAACAACATTTCGTATCGATGCAAAATGTCCATTTCCCCCCCCCCCCCAAGCGACGGAGAGACAGTTCCCACACAGTCACAAGGTTGCCGTCCTCAATGTTTCTCGGTAGCAAAACTCAAAGAGGGCCAGCCATGAAAAATACAAACCAGACATTTAGGAAAACGGGGTGATGACGACTGGAAGAAGCGAGGCAACCGCTTTGGGAAAAAATATGTCGTGTGCCTGGTTATAGACAGAATTTTCTCCGTCCTCAAAACAAGCCTTGGGGCTGTTAAAAACCAGTTTAGCCCTTCGCAAGTTCTTCCAGCAGAAGCCCACTAAATCTAGCCGAGAATTTTCTCCGTAATACTCTTTAAAAAAAAATTTAAAAAATAAAGGGATGGTTCTGGGAAACAGCTGCAAAACCGGTTAGCATCGCTTTTGCGGTCTCGAAGCCATGCAGAATATCTCAGCGTTGGGTTTTGGATACCTTGGACATAACTAATGTTTGTTTTGATTGCGCTGCACCCAAACTGTAGCCCGGAGCTCTCTAAAAGACCAGATGGAGATGACGCACATTTTTGCTGATTGATCTAGGATACAGGATTGTGGGTGAGAAAGTATACAATTCAGGAAAATCGGGAAGGTCTCTAACAACGATTCCTGGTTGAACTTGTTTATGCTTAGCAATCCCGTTCCTAGATCAGCCAGTCATTCTAATATGCCAAAACTTCATTTATTTATTTTTTTGGCACCAGTTTGACCCCTATAAAGGAGAATATTTGTAGCTCAAGGTTGAAATGAGGTGTTTGCTGAGCTTAGTGGTTTTCTCGCAGACATTTCATGACCCAACTAGGTAACATCATCAGTGCAAGAAGTGCCATTTGCAGCAAACCCCACTCCTCTTTACACTGATGATGTTACTTAGTTGGGTCATGAAACGCCTTCAAGAAAACCAAGCTCGGTGAACACCAAGGACCTCACAGTCCTCTTCTTCATCCTTTTCCTTCTAGCACTGATGATGTTACCTTGGTCATGAAACATCTGCAAGAGAACCACCCAGCTCAGAGAGCACCCAGGGCCCTTCAATTTGATCCCTACCCACTTATTTCCAAAACCGTTTCCTGAAAGACCCTCGCTGGCCCATTAAGAGTCGAACAATTTGGGTGCAGCCCAGAGGGTCCTCTGAAACCCCATCCCACTCATTCCTTCTCGGCCAGCAGATGTTTCTCTCCCGTTGCTTAGCCGGGATTTATATCTACCATTCCAAATTGTCCCATCTTCCTTGGAAAGACCCCTCTACCCACTGCAGAAGGCAAAACCCATGGCTCAAGTGGAAGTCCTCCATGGCCTGCTAATCCTTTACTACAGAGGAACAGACCTGGAGCCCACAAGGATGGAAGTGCTAGTAATTTATACCAGAAGAGCGAAACTCTTAAATCTAGCAGACTTGCGACTTTTGTTTTTCTGGACCGCACTTAATTGGGACATTTGAAGACTTTTTTCTCGTTGCTTTTCTGCATCCAAAAAACATCACAGCTTAAACTGTCCTCCTGTTTCCTTCTGTGCTGTACTGTTGGTTTAAAAAAAAAAAATAGGGAAAAATTCAATTCTTCACGGAAGAAACCCTGTGAACGATGCCCTTTCGCCACCTGGCATGGTACAGTCCCCTAAACACAGAATCCCTTGATTTTTCTTGTGATATGTCCGCTCTTCTACACGTGCGTTAAGTGCAGCCCCAAGAGAAAATTGTGAACCCAGCCCAAATTCTCCCCAGGACTTCCTTAAGTGATGCCACCGGGTTCTGGGTGCGGCCGTCATTATTCAGTTTTGGGGGTGCAGGAGAAACATAATTTATCATTTCCTTGGGGAATTTCTCTTGGAAGTTTTGGAACCCAAAGGGCCGGCTTTTTCCACAGCCCTGTTGCAAAACCAAAAGCTTGCTTCTTAGAATCAGCCCCGTCCACCCACAATGCCTTGTGCTACTCCCTAATGTCACAATGCTGGCCAACATTTTACACCACGACCTTCTCCCATCTGTTCTCCCTCTGTTTTCTGTTTTCTAATGCTTGCACGAAGACATTCCTGAGGCAGGAAGCAAAAACGACACTAGTGGAAATCCTTCTGGGTTTGTGGCATGCACCTTCCCTTTTTTAAAAAAAAAATTAAAATAAATGAAAAACCTAAAGGCAGGCCCGTGTGCACCAGGTCCACGCCAACTAGTTTCCAGGTAAGGGTTATTATGCCCAGCCTTGCTTGCGTGGAGAGCTGCTTTCTGACCCTGAGCGACGAGGCAAAGCGGCTTGACCACAGAAATTGCTACAGCTGGCCCGTACCTCTGAATACCGCAACACAAGAGTTAAAAAAATAAAACCGCATCCACAAGCCTGTTAAGTGCCTTCCGGAAGCAAAGTCGCAGGATAAGAAACGCCATACGTGAAGATTGAGCAGCTCGCAAGCCTCCTAACAATTACTGTTTCAAGATAAGTCCACCGCTCTTTTCCATTCCTGGCTTGGAGGAATATGCTTTTTTTCGTTTGGTTTCGTTTCTCCCAGCTCTGGAGCGCCTCCATGTACCATAAGCCCCCCAGCCCCCACGTTTTCTGAGTCAAAATCTCTGCAGCCCAGAGGCCCAGGAACAAACAAACAAAAAAAAAGCTGTTGCTACTGGAACACAACATGCAATTAAACAAATGCTCTGGACAAGAAGGAAAAGAATTATGTCTGGGCCTCTGCAGCGTTGCTCAGCTCTCCGAAAAACATTTGAACCCTCTCTGCCGTCCACGGCTGGACGCAAGGAAACGACAAACCGTCCCATTCACCGTTTCCCCGACTGTTCAGAGCCGGGGCTAAATCGCACAAAAGACAGCTTGTAATCCAACGCCATCTTCCTTGCCTCTTCCACCTTTGGCTTAACCTCCCGAGTTTCGGAGTTGACAGCGGGCGCCTTTGGACCCGGCTCCCTTCCACCGGAAACTCGGTCGTTTTCACCGTAAGCTTCGAGGATTGTCTGTTTCTCCAGCTCGGTGTACTCCAGAGAGAAGCGATGCACCTGGAGGATGTGGCGTTTGATGGTGCTGACTTTGAGGGTGGCCAGCGTGCCCCCACACACCATGCAGATCAAGCCGTGTTTCTGCTCGTCGTAGTCCATCAGGTACTGCACCCGCCAGCGGGGCTGGTAGTTTCGGCGCTGACTCCGCCGAGATAGGGTCCCGACTGGCGTGGAGGCAGCCCCCGGAGATGGCTGGGGCAGGGCCAGCCTGTCTGCTCCGGGGGTATCTTCTTCCCTCTTAGGAGAGGCCCAACCCTCTGGAGGATCCTCGGGAGATGCAGGTGGCTTGTAAACACGCCGTGATTCGGCTGGAAAGCGAGAACAAAAGAGGGTGGTGAGTTTGCCAGGGATCGTCGGGTTTTTATGAGCCCTGGTGGCACAGTGGTTAGAACGCGGTACTGCAGGCTAATTTTAGCCAGGAGGAGTTCGATCCTGACCGGCTCAAGGTTGATTCAGATTTCCATCCTTCCGAGGTTCAGTAAAACGGAGGACCTGGATTGTTGGGGGCAACAGACTGACTCTGTAAACCGCTTAGAGAGGGCTGTAAAACACTGTGAAGCGGAGTTCCCCATGCAGCCTGCTTTATGATGGGTGGACTTCAACTCCCAGAATTCCCATCCAGCATGCTTTAAGAGGTGTGGACTTCAACTCCCAGAACTCCTGAGCCAGCATGGCTCAGCTTGGAAACCTCTCCCTTTCCCCTCAGCGTGGCTGGCTCAGGAATTCTGGGAGTTGAAGTCCACGAGTCATAAAGCAGCCTAGGCCTAGGCCAGAGGTAGGCAACTTTGGCTCTTTTATGACTCGTGGACTTCAACTCCCAGAATTCCTGAGCCAGCATTGCTCAGCTTGGAAACCCCTCTCTTTCCCCTCAGCATGGCTGGCTCAGGAATTCTGGGAGTTGAAGTCCACGAGTCATAAGAGCCAAGGTTGCCTACCCCTGGCTTAGGCAGTTGCATGCCTCACTTTTAAAAAAATAATAATATTAACCTGTACACCAGCCAGGGGAGTTCCAGCCTCCTCAAGACACCCATGTGCAACACACGTAGAAACGTCCCTCACCTTGATCCACCTCGGCATCTGTTTCGGGCTGCGAGTCGTCGGCATCCGCCAAGCGGGCCACTTTCTGATTCCACTCCTGCACGATGAGCGCCTTGACCTGGTGGCTAAGTTGCGTGGAGTCGGGATGCTTCTGTTGAATGTGCCTCTTGATAGTGCTCATCTTGAGTGTGGCCAGGGTGCTCCCGCAGACCATGCACACCAGCCCGTGGCGCACCCCGTTGTAGTCCATTAAGTACTCCACCCTCCAGTGTTCCTGGAAGTAGCGACGGTGGTCTCGGCCACGTGCTGGAACGCGAGGGCTGCTCTCTTCCGAGTCCCACGGGCCGGCCTCGTCCATCCCCTCCTCTGCCGTGGGGTGATCTGGGGAGGCTGAGGAGTCCAGCTCTTTCGTGTTCAGATCCTGTTGCGCAGACAGGCCGGTTTCTGGGTGGGTTACAAGAGGAAGAAAAAGAACAAATTGAATTCCTCTTCGCTGCCAATGTCTGCCTTCCCTGGTTAAAACAATATTATGCAATTTTTCCATAATAAAAGAACGTTCTTAGCCTCTCAGCCTTGGCTGTTGCTTCGCCTAATTGGCCACAAAGGGGCTGGATGTCAATTGTGCATCTTATGTTGCATCTTATGCATCTAGTCCTTGACTTACAACAGTTCCTTTAGTGACTATTTGAAGTTATTAAAGTGACTTATGACGGTTTTTCACACTTATGACCGTGGCCACTTCTCCATGGCCATATTACCAAAATTCAGACGCTTGGCAACTGACTCGTAGTTATGACGGTTGCAGTAACAACCTTCTGGCAAGCAAAGTCAAGGGTGGGGGGGGGAAACCCGGGTCCACTTAACAACCGTGTTACTAGCTGAGCAACTGCAGTGATTCACTTAACAACTGTGGCAACCCTTCCAATTTCATTGTTGTTTTGTTATTATTATTTCATTGTTGGTAGTTATTATTATTAACATATATTTTTTAAAACAAATCCCATCCATTTTTTTTGTAGATAGATGATAGATAGACAGACAGACAGACCATACCCCTCCATTGATAGATGGATGGATAGATGAGATAAATAAGAAAGATACCTGCTCCTTTGATATATGGATGCATAGATCGATAGATCGATAGATAGATAGATAGATAGACAGACAGACAGACAGACAGAGGGACAGACATGGATGTATAGATGACAGATGATGATGATGATAGATAGGTAGGTAGGTAGAGATGTGTTTATGCGTGTGTGAGAGAGAGAGAGAGGGATGGATGGATGGATAGATAGATAGATGAATGAGATATTGTATGCATGTATGTGCCTTCAAGTCAGTTTTTTTGTCCTACCTTCAGGTGCTTTGGAAAACAAGCTGACCCCCCCCCTTTTTGAGGGGGGGCAGCCCCTGAAATCCTGGAAGACTGCTATCATGTCCCCCTTCGTCCCGAGTGGATTCTTTCCCGGTCCCCATTGCTCTCTCTCACCTGCGTCCTCTTCATTTCTCCCCTCGGCTCCCAGCGCCAGCTCCCGAGAGTTCCAGGCTTCCAGGATGGCCCCCTTCTCCGCGGGGCTGAAGCCCAGGGAAGTGGGGTGCGCCTCCATCACGTGGCGCTTGATGTCATCCAGGTTCAAACTGGGCAGGGAGGATCCGCACATCATACAGAAGAGACGGTTGCCCTGCGGGTCGTAATCCATCAGGAATTCAGACTGGAACCAGCTTTGCAAGGATTGCTTCAAATATTGCTCCAGGCTCTGGGACTCGCCCTCCGGGGAAGACTTCAGGGTTAGGCTGGAGGGCCGGCGTGCCCCACGAGAGGGGAGGGGAGCCGGGCCACGGCGTGTCCGGCAACCTCCGTCCAGCAAAATCTCTCCTGCATGGGAAGCAAGACAGGTAAATCTTTTCCCTTCTCCAACAGGCTGGGATAGCAAACTAGGTTTGGATGGGAAATATTCAGGGGACACCCCTATAGCTCCCCAGACAGCGGATCACCCCACATTTAATGGCAGTCCTTGGCTTACGACAATGTAGCTAAGCGAGTCAGTTGTTAAGTGAGATTTGCCCCCTATTACGACCGTTCTTGCCACAGTTAAGGGAATCGCTACAGATGCTAAATTAGCAACACAGTCGTTAAGTGGGACACGGCAACCGTCATAAATATGAGTCAGTTGCCAAGCGGCGGAATTTTGATCACTTGAGCATGGGGATGCTGCTATGAAGAACAGTCATCAGTCGCTTTTTTCCGTGGCATTGTAACTTCCAATGGTCACTAAACGAATGGTCATACGTCAAGAACTGCTTGCAAGCTTAGAAGAAATCTAGTCATACTACAGGGGTGATTGGGAAATCTAATTTTAATCTTATTTAATTTGCTTTTCATTGTTTTAAAAAATATAGTCCAGTCCCTTTATCTATCATCCATCTATTCCATCCATCCATCCATATCTGTCTGTCTGTCTGTCTATCTATCTATCTATCTATCTATCTATCTATCTATCCCATCCATATCTATCCATCCACCCATCCATCTATCCCATCCATATCTATCTGTCTATCTAGCCATCTATCATCTATCTATCTATACCTATCCATCCATTAATCTATCCATATCTATCTATCTATCTATCCATCCATATCTATCTATCCATCCATCTATCCCATCCATATCTATCTATCTATCTGTCTGTCTGTCTATCTATCATCTATCTATCTCTATATCTACCTATCCATCCATTAATCCATCCCTCTATCTAGCTATCTATCTATCCATATCTATCATCCATCCATCTATCCCATCCATATCTATCATCCATCCATCCATCCATCCATCTATCCAATCCATATCTATCTATCTATCTGCCTGTCTGTCTGTCTGACTCACTCTGTCTGTCTGTCTGTCTACCTACCTACCTACCTATCTATCTACCTATCTATCTAATTGAATCTGGAACCCCACCCCAAATGACGGCCACCCTACCATGATCCCCAGGGGGGACACCGGCTCCTTTGGCGGACTCGCGGGCCCCCTCCACCTCCATCTCCAGGCCCAGGTGGGCATCCCAGCTGTTCATGATGACCGCTTTCTCCTGGGCGTTCCAGGTGAGCGAGTAGGCGTGCTTTTGCCGAATGTGTCTCTTGATGGTGCTGAGCTTGAGCGTCGCCAGGGAGCTCCCACACACCATGCAGATCATACTGTGCCGCGCCGCGTTAAAATCCATCAGGTATTCAGCCCGCCAATGTTCGTGGTAATACCGCCGGTGGTCCCGCCCGGGAATCCGGCTTTTGCCGGGCCTGGAAGCGCGCGCTTCGCAATGGTCCGAGTATTTGCGCCCTCCAGCCAAGAGGGACACGGGGTCCTTTTTGGTAATCCCTCGTAGCAGGCCGTTCCCGGCGGGATGCAGCAGACGGCCAGATTCGCCGCTATGCTGGGAATCGGAGGCTCCTTCCGGGCACGTGGAATCTCCTGGCGGGATACAAAGGTTCAATGTCAGGTAGTCCTCGGCTTTACAACCCACAATTTTCTGTTGCTAAGCAAGGCGTTTGTTAAGCGAGTCGCGCCTGATTTTTGCCTTTTTTTTTTTACTGTGAGCACAACGGCACACCTCAAAAATGAAATTTAGTTGCCCGCTCTCAAAGTGAAACACATACATGACACACACCTATGCTCTCTTTTCCTCTCTCTCTCTTCTGCAAAATGGGCAACGTTTTGACTAGGCAACAAGGCTGAAATAGCAAAAGAAGAACCCAACGGGGCAATACCAGGGGGCGGGGGGAGGGGTGGAGATAGGGGGTCCCCCGAAGCAGCAAAAGGTGTATGGGGGGGGGTCTCAATCCCTAGATGGCAGACCTCTACAAAAGGAGAGGAAGAGGCACATCTTCAGAATGAGTGGGTTTGTGTTGGTTGTGTGTTGCGTTTTGTGTATGTGTGTGTGTGTGTCTCTCTCTCCCAGTGTACATCTTCAGAATGAGTGAATGCGTTTGTGTGTGTTTGTGCTGTTTGTGTGTTTCTCTCCCAGTGGACAGCTTCAGAGTGAGTGTGTTTGTGGTGTTTGTGTGTGTTTCTCCCAGTGGACATCTTCAGAACGAGTGGGTCTGTGTTTGTTGTGTGTTGTATTTTGTGTACGTGTCTCTCTCTCTCTCTCTCTCTCTCCCAGTGCACATCTTCAGAATGAGTGAATGCGTTTGTGTGTTTGTGCTGTTTGTGTGCTTCTCTCCCAGTGGACAGCTTCAGAGTGAGTGTGTTTGTGGTGTTTGTGTGTGTTTCTCCCAGTGGACATCTTCAGAACGAGTGGGTCTGTGTTTGTTGTGTGTTATATTTTGTGTACGTGTGTCTCTCTCTCTCTCTCTCCCAGTGGACATCTTCAGAATGAGTGAATGCGTTTGTGTGTTTGTGCTGTTTGTGTGCTTCTCTCCCAGTGGATATCTTCAGAGTGAGTGAGTGAGTGTGTCTGTGTTTGTGTGTGTCCTAGTGAACATCTCTCTCCAAAACCAGGAGCAGCCAGTGAAGGAGCTTCCTTCATCTTTAGAAGACCACAGTCCAATCAGGGAGACCCCCACCTCAGCTGAAGGACCCCTCACCCCACAGTGCCAAGGACAGAATTGATCCTCAACCCCAAAGGCAAGGGGGGGGAAACCCTCCTGCCCCCCCCCAACACCCTGCCCCAGATTGGCCCATTTGACAGCAACCAAACAGAAAAACTGGCACAACTCCCCAAGTTTGTGCAAATGCAAAATCCAGAGGGGGCAGAAAAGCAGAGGGGGGGGGCTTCCTTTCTGAGGGTCCAAGGAGGAGTCCCTGCATCAGACCCTTCCCCCCCCCCCGCCCTGCCCCGCCCCCCCAGCCAAGCAAGGTGAAGCAGCCTTGGGGAAGGAGACACAACTTAGCTTGCTGCTGTTGTTGTTGTCCTTGTTGTGCCTTCTTGCCCGCCTTTCTCTCCCTCCCATCCCCTTCCTTGGAAGGGCTCCCCCCCCCGCCCTCCCCTCTCTCTTCTCCTCCCCTTCCCCTCCCCATTGCAACAAGCCACTCCATCCTTCCCCAAAGCTTGGGAGGCCCACCAGCTGCTCCCCTTCCCCTTCGCAATGTTTTTGAATGGGGGGGGGGGGAAGAGTGGAAGAAGATGGGGGGGGAGATATGGGGGCAACGACGGGGAGCGGGGGGGGGCCTTTCCATGCAACCAGGGCCAGCAGGTGGTGTGGATAAGAGAAACTGGGGCGGGGGGGGGGAGGAGATGGAAGGAAGGAAGGAAGGAAGGAGGGAGGGAAGGAAGGGGGGGGTCTCCGTTTGCAAGGCTCTCTTTTGTTCTCACCTGAATCCAGGGGCTCCTGCTTGATGGAAAGGTGGGGGGGCTCCATGCCTGCTCCTCCGCTCTCCTCTCTCTCTCTCTCTTTTCTTTTTCAGACATCCATCGCCCCCCCTTTGCACCGATCGATTCCCCCCTTCCCTCGCTTCTCGCTTGCAATTGCATGCAATCCCCCCCCCAATTTTCCAAAAATCCTCAGCATATAAATGCAAGAATTCTGCAATCGATCCGGACCGAGGGTTTGCAATCGCCCCCCCCCGCCCCGCGCTTTGCAAAGCGGGCCCCCCAACTCTTCTCCGCCTGCGGCCGAGCGGAGGGAAGCGAGCAGGCTCCGGCTCGCCAGGGTGGGGAAACCTTTTCCCCCCGGGGCCCCTGGGGCTCCTTTCAAGGCTCCTGGGTAAATTTAAAGGGGACGCAGCCTATTTCTGCAGCGGGGGTGGGGGGAGGGAGGGAGGGAGGGAGAAGGGCAACGCGGGGACTGGGAAATCAAAGCAAAGGTAACAACAACAATAATAACAACAACAATAATAATAACAATAAAAGGTTTGCACGGTCGTCAAACCCTCCTGCTAAATCTGTGCACAGATGCACACGTGTGCATGTGTGTGCGTTTTATCAATTGTGCCTGCCCGGTGGGGCTAATCGGATTTTCCTAGCGGAGGGGGAGGAAGATGCGGGATGTGGCCCCTGCCTTTCCTCCTCCCCCCCCTCCACATCTTCAATGAGCGCATCCCCATTCACGCGTTGAGGGGATTTAGACGCGTGCACCCGCTCCGACGTGCACCAACCCCGTTCCCTAAAAGCAGGACCTCTCTGGAGACGACAGCCATCTCCAACGTGGCAGAGAGGCCGGGACTACAAGGCCCATCCTCCCCAGGCAGCACCGTCACCGGGAAAGCTGGGTCCGGGCGCGCTTGGGGTTGCCACCAAATTGCAAGTCCGGGAAAGAGGGAGGGGGGAAGGATGGAGGGACCCCTCCAGCCCAGCCCGGGGGGGGGATGCAGGGGACCACGGATGCATCTGCTGCAAGGGTGGGAGTTTGCTTTCATTTTGGGTGGCTGGGACAGGGGCCGAAGTTCCACCGGTGAAACTTATGCAATGCCCGAGAAAAACTCTCTCGAGGCGGGCGGGCGGGCGGGAGGGGGGTGCCCGCTTTTGCAGCTGTCAAAGGCAAGAAAGAGCCCCTTCCCAGAATTAACTTGGCCCAGTTGAAGCAGCTGGGGATAGCTGGCTTTGGGGGGGGGGCTTGAGAAGGCGAATCGTGCATTTAAATAAACATGCATCTTTGGACGATCGGGTCAGAACCTCCCTGTTCAGGAGCAGTCTACCCGCAGCTAGGAAGCAGGCAGAAACCGGGAAGGGCTTTTTCTTGCTATATATGCCATTGCTTTGGGTTTTCTCTCTCTCTCTCTCTCTCTCTTACACACACACACTTTGCTTCCTTTGCCCACCAGGGCAAATCTTCTCCCCTGCAATTCCACCTCTTCCCCACCAGATGGCAGCCTCTGCAGCCGCTCTCCTCCGCGCCGGGGCCTTGACGCCGATTGGCCTTGCGCCAGGCAAAGGGGCGGAGAAAGAAGCGATTGGCTGACGGACCAGGCACCGAAGATAGAGCCAAGAAGAAAATAGAGCAGCCCCTCTACCCCGTGACGTCAACCGGAAGTGCGCCCTTCCCCGTCTCCGCGCAGTAGGCACTCCATCGGCTGCTATCATAGAGGCACGGGAGGCTAGATCGGCACACGATTTTTTTTCCCCCTCTCCCGCGCTATCGCCGGAAGTTCCGGCTACCTCTCCGGGGAGGGGAAGGCCCTTCGGACAATGGGACCATAGAGCAGTCAGGGAGCGGGAGTGGTCCGGCCGAGGGGGGCCGCTCTATGGGGCTGGGAGCCGCCATGCTCTATGATGCGTGCGGGGGCCGCAGCCGCAGAAGCGCCGCGGAGGCCCAGCAGCTGCAAGGCCAGGTGGGAGCTCTCGGGATGGGGTGGGTGGTCTCCAGCGCCCCCCGCCCCCCCACCGCCTGGGGGGGGGCAGAGGAAACCCGGGTTCCCTCCCAGAAGGCCCTCAGTGTGGGGGAGGGGCTGCTATCCCCCCCCTGGGAGCTGCTATTAACCCCCCCATTACTCACCTGGGAGAGGGAGGGACTGAAGTAGCCCCCCCCACCAAAAAACCCCATGAGTGGGTTCAAAAAAAAACCCTTTGAGGAAGAGGGGGGGCTTTTATTCCCCCCCCTGAAGAGCAAACCCCCCCTAGGGAGGAGAAAAGGGGGGTGTCTCCCCCCCATTTACAGGTGGGGAACCGAAAACTGCTTGTGGCATCCTCCTGCACCCCCCTTACACTTGTTGCCCTCCCCCCCCTGCAAACTCCCCTCCCCAATGGCTTCTTTGGCCGAAGAAAAGGGGGAGGGGGCAATTCCATGCAGGTGTCAAATCCCCTGGGTTGGGGGAGTCGAGGGGGGGCGGGGGTCTCTCTCCCAGGTTCCTTGGGGAGGTGCCCTTTGGCCCCATCCAAATGCAGGAGGGAGGGAGGAGGAAACGGGGGGGGGGGGAAGAACCCAAATAAAGCAGCTCCCCTGGCTTTGGGGGAGGGGGCTGCTCAGTCCCACGTGGGGAGGGGGCTGTGTGTGGAAAGCCCCCTCAGGTGGGTCTGAAAGAGGGGGGAGATGCTGGAGAAGGACTTTTAAAAGAGGGAAGGTTGGGGGGCTGCTTTGGGGAGGGGAGGCAAATGGTTGGGGGAAAGCCTGAAGAATATTTGTGGGAGGGGGTCAGGGGGGGGGCTGTCCCATGCTTAGGGGGCTGAGTGAAGACCCCAAGCTGAAAAGTCAACCTGGAGGGTCCTTGGCCCGGCTGCTTTAAAACCCCAGAACCAGCTCTGAATGGAGCCCAGAAAAATAAAAAAGAATCGGATGTTTAAAAAACAAAACACACTTATTTGGTAGTGGGTGGGTGGGTGTTTTTATAAGGGGGGGGCAGGCAGTGAATTTAGTGATTCACTAATTTGGAATGCAAGGGAAAGTCGAAAGAAGGCTGTGTGTGTATGTGTATGTGAACAGGTTTTGTCCACTGAGATTGGGGTGGGGGGGAAATGAATTTAAACAATGTGGGAGATGCGGCTTCTAGGCTGTGTTTTGAGCAAAAGGTTTCTCTCTCAGAGACAGGGAGTGAAATTTTTCCATCTTTATTGACAAAATAAAGCTGTTTGTCCTCAAGAAGTAGGCAACTGATTAAATCATTTTTTTCCCTTTTTCTGATTTTGTTTAATATCCTTTGTTGTAGTCAGTGCTGAGCGGTTTCTGGAGCCAGGTCCTTCTGATCATCCTGTCCAGGGAGGCCTCGGTTGTAGGTAAGAAAGTCTCAACATGTTTCTGCTAAAATCTCATGTTTAGAAGCTAATTAGTGACTAGCTAATTGAGAGACCTCTGGGTAATCCAAGGATTGTTGGTTAGACTAAAACTAAATACTCCTTGGAAGAAAACCAGGAGATGCTATTTCCAAATTCCTTTCATTACATACTGGACCAACTTAGGCCAAAGCATAACCCACTTGTGTTGCTACCTAACTGGGATCCATACAATAGACACAATATTTTGTATTCCATTATTTTTAACTTTGCATTGTTAACCTTCAGGTGGAGGATGCTTCTTTTATGTACGCTAAAAAATAATAATCCTGTGGGCAAAAACAGTTATCAGAAATGGGACTTTTTATTATTTTCTTACTGTTTTTGTTTTAATCATATCCCCCCAAGAAGAGCAGAGATAACTGTACTCCCACGATACTTTAAAGAAAGCTAAAAGGGGTGTGGATGGTTTGTGAGTTGTGTTAACCTACTTGTGGCATTCCTAGGTTCGGTAAATGCTACTTTTAGATGACCCTGTAAAGTGCACAATATCTTTGAGGAATGCAGTAACTGTGGTTTGGATTTAGCATGTTGTGTGAACGTGATTGATTCTTTGAGTGTGCACATTTTTCTCTCCAGTTTCCAGTCTAGTTAACAGCACTGCCCTCTTATGAAAAAGAAAAAAGAAAAAAAAAGGACAGCCTGGGGAGGAGTTGTTGAGATGGGCTGCTCTGTAAATTAATTGAATAATTAAATAAATATACACCTGGGCTCTCTCCTTCCCCGGCTCCCATCTTGTGTAGCACAGGTCCAGTTTCACTCAAATTTGCTCCTAAGACTTCCATGCTCAAAACATAAAGCCTTCTTTGTCTCTTCAAAGTAAACACCAACCTTTGAAGTTGAGGAATGGAAAAGAGAGGGGGTGGGAAAAAGCAGAACTTGATAGCTTCTTTCAAAACCAATACTGCAAGGTTGATTTTTGTGGTCTCTGATTCTGCTTATTTCGCTCCTTGGTCCTTTCTACGTTGAAATAGGTAACACTCAACTTGCAGCTTTTCATTCAAAGACATTTCAGAGTTACAAGGGCACTAAAAAAGTGACTTAGCACCGTTTTTCACACTTACGACCGTTGTAGTGTCCCCACGGTCACGTGATCAAAATTCAGACGCTTGGCCATTGGGAAACGTATTTATGACGGTTGCAGCGCCCTGGGGTCACGTGGTCCCCTTTTACGACCTGACCAGCGAAGTCAATAGTGGAAGTCAGATTCACTTAACAAACAGGTTACTACCTTTACAACTGCAATAATTCAATGGTGGCAAGGAAAGTTGTAAAATGGGGCAAAATTGCGCCGAGGTGGCGCAGCAGTTAGAGTGCAGTACTGCAGGCCACTTTAGCTGACTGTGTTCAGCAGGTCAGCGGTTCAAATCTCACCGGCTCAAGGTTGACTCAGCCTTCCATCCTTCCAGGGTAGGTAAAATGAGGACCCAGATTGTTGGGGGCAATGTAAATATATATATATATATATACATTGCTTACTGGTGTACACCGCTTAGAGAGTGCTTGCATTTAAAGCGGTATATAAGTCTCATAAAATAAAAAATAAATAAAATAAAAAATTCCCTTAGCCGTCCTAAGGACCGTCCGTACTTCCTTTTTCTCTCCCTGGGTGATGTTTCTGTCTCTTCCCCCAGTCGGGATTTGGGGTGCCCACTCTGCTACCTCCAGATCTCTCATGGCGCTGAAGGCGGAGACCCCCTTGACGGACTACTCCGAGGTCTCCTCAGCCATCTCCCGCTTCAAGGAGAAGGAGAAGTTGGCTGCTGATTCCCGGATCCTCCACCGCCCCTCAGCGAAGCAGGATGGAGCGCTTGTAAACCCCGTGGGCAAAGGTGGGAAGCTCTTCTCACAACCAGTGTGTGTGTGTGGGGGGGCGGGTGGCCCTGGGAAAGCAGTGGGAACAACCCAACGGGGTGTGCAGAGGCAAGGCGGTGAACCACAACTTTATGAGCACCGGAGACTCTTAAGAATGGAAGATCCAAAAGGAAGGATCAATTTAGCCTTAGGGCAACGATGTCAAGCCTTGGTGTGTATTGTGATTCTTCGACAAGAGGAAATATTGCAAGGGTTGGCTCAGATGTTCTTACTGAGCCTGCTATTTTTTTTATTTGTTTATATCCCACCGCTCATATTTTCCCTAAAACAACAGCCTTGTGAGGCAGGTTGGGCTGAAAAAAGGGGCGGTCCAAAGTCACTCAGTCAGCTTTCATGGCTCAGGTGGAACTTGAACTCGCCGTCTCCTGGTGATTTGACGCAAAGTCACCCAGCCAATGTTCATGCCGATGGTGGTACTAGAACTCACTGTCTCCTGGTGATTGGCCCAAAGTCACCCAGCCGACCTTCCTGGCTAAGGTGGAACTAGAACTCACTGTCTCCTGGTGATTGACCCAGCCAATGTTCATGCCAGTGGTGAGACTAGAACTCACCATCTCCCGATGATTGGCCCAAAGTCACCCAGCCAGCTTCCACGGCTAAGACAGGACTAGAACTCACCGTCTCCCGGGTTTTATCACAGACCAGGGTTTTTTCCTAGCTTTCACGCTGGCTGAGGAACTCCGGAAATCTCAGAGGATCTTCTGATGCTTAGCCAAACAAATGGGAGTTGTAGAACTTCCTCTAGGCCGGGATTCCTTTTTTTTTTTTGAAAAAAATGTCATTCCCCCCCGCAGGAAAACACCCAGTTTCAGAGTCCGCCGGCCGGGAAGAGCTTGGGAACTCCTGGAAACAGGAATATTTGGTGGCCGAGAATCCGGACGACGGCCGGCTGGTGTGCATGGTGTGCGGGGGCCTCTTGGCCAGGTCCGGCCCGGCGGCAGCCCGCCAACACATCCTGCAACACCACGCCCACTCGCTGGACTTCACGCTGGAGGAGAAACACAACATCCTGGAGGGCTGGAGCGAAGGGGCTGTCCTGCCCGAAAAAGAGTCGCCCCCTTCCTCTGCAGGTAATCCTCCCCCTTGCTCTGCTCTGCGGCGGCCGCTGCCGGTGCTGTTGTTGTTGCGATGCCCTCGCGGGCCGGGATAGCCAACGAGGCGGCGCCTGGCGCTGCCCTGGCGGATTCTGATTGGCTTTCTGGCCCTTCCCACCCCAGGCGGTCCTGGCGAGAACCAGCAGCCTGCCGAGATCGAAGTCCTCCTTGATTTGGAGGAACAGCCCGTGGGCCGGAAGCGCGGGCCCGTCCCAGCACACCGCGGTGAGTGCTAGGCCACGGAGAGGGCAGGAGCTGCCTAGAGCAGCGGTTCTCCACCTGTGGGTCGGGACCCCATTTGGGGTCGAGCGACCATTTCACGGGGGTCGCCAAACAACGCAGTCCGCCATTTTTCTTTCCCCCTTTTCCTTAGCTGGGCTCCTCCCTTTTATTCTATTGGCTTTTGAAAGCCAATAGAGTAGACTCTCTTGAATAGAGTCTAATTCTATTGGCTTTCCAAAGCCAATAGGAATGGTCCAGGCTGTCTCTGCCCTGCTGAGCCCGCCAAAAGTCCCATTCTGCAAACGGGGCTGCACCCGTTGAGTAGTCCTCGACTTACGACCGGTTGAGTAGTCCTCGACTTGCGACCGGTTGGCGGGGGGGTCGCGGCATTAAAAAGGTTGAGAACCACTGGCCTAGAGCATCCTTTTCAGACCCCAGGCGGTCCTCGGCTTACGACTTAACGGCTGACATTTCCACGGCCAAGCAAGGGGTTCGTTGAGTCGGGCAAACGGAATCCGTTGCCTATTTTATGATTTTATTTTAATTTTTTTGGGCCAAGGTGGTTAAGCAAATTGCTGCATTCGTTCAGTGACTCGTGCAGTCATTAAGCGAATCCAGTTCCCCCCCCCATTGAATTTGCTTGTCGAAAGCTGGACTGGGAAGGTGGCCAATCGCCACCTACGGTTGTAAGTGTGAGGATCCGTTGTAAATCACTTTCTTTCCGTCTTCAAACCGGTCACTAAAGGGATAGTCGTAAGTCGAGGGCTGCTGGCATTCTTTAAAACGGTCCCATCTCCTGGGAAGTGAGTGTTTTGAAACCAGCTGCACCCAGTCTTGTGAACAGTCACACTCCCAGTCCCGGGAACTCGTGTTGTGAGTGTGCTTGTGACATTCCTAATACCCTTGAGCTGGTCTCAGATCAGACCTCCTTCTTCCTCCGTGGCTGTCAAGGACGGGGGCCTGCCTAATGCTCCTTGGGGATAATATCCCAGCATCCTTTGCTGTAGGCCAAGCTCTCGGGGGGGGGCTTCTGGGGTCTGTGGTTCACCAGCTGGAGAAGCCCACGTTCCCTCCTGCTCTAACCAGGTTGGTGCAAGACATCCACTCGGTTAAAAGCAGGTAGTGCTCGACTTACGACCACAATTGGGCCCCAAATTGCCTTTTGCTAAGCCGTCAAGTGAGTTTTGCCCCATTTTGCGACCTTCCCTAGCACAGTCGCTAAGTGGATCGCTGCATCCGTTGAGTCAGTAATGCCGTCGTTAAGCGAATCCGGCTTCCCCATTCCCTTGGCCTGCCGGAAGGTCGCCAAAGGGGATCATGTGACCCCGGGACTGTCGTAAATCTGAATCGGTTTCCAAGCCTCTGAATTTGCCGGTCTTGTGACCATGGGGGCCACAGCAAGAGTTGGACTTAGCGGTCCTAAATCGCTTCTTTCAGCGGCCTGACTTCACACGGCCGCTAAGCCAACCGTTGCAAGTCGAGGACTGCCTCTGCAATCTTTAACCCCACTTAGCAAAGCCACGAAAAATCTCTTTGTAAGTGTCTTGTGTCAAGACTGACGCTGCTGCTGCTGCTGCTGCTTCCTCCTAACCGTGTCTGAGCTGTTGTGGGTCTCTGTCGTGAAAAGAAGCCATATTTGGATCCCTGTTCCTCACAAAACTGCGCGATCCCCATTGAAGACCCACAACTGAAGCGGTGTGCTTTTCTCCTCTTTGTTCTCTTCTCAGCAGAGAGTTTGCACTTAGACGCTGAAAGGCGGCTTCCCGTTCGACAGAGGCCACCAGCCAAGGATCCGAGGGGTCAGGAGCCCATTGAGGCTGCAGGTAACACGGCGTCGCCTCGGAACCGGTTTTCGAGGGTAGCTTTCTGGCTACCCCTCCGATTTTCCTTTCCTCTCGATCCCCCCCCCTCCCCTTTTGTCTGCTGGGCTCCCTTTTAATGCCATTTGTTCAACACATTCAGAATGTCTTCCTCCAGCCTTCAAAAGCTCAGGTTTCTAGCCCTTATGAAAGCAAAAGAGAACCTTGAAAGCTGGCCAGGTTTTTTTGGGGGGGGGAGGGTGGATTTTGATTCTATAGAGATGGGCAGTTTTGGACTTGATCAGAAACGGACGTTTGCTTGTTTGCTGAGCTTTCGGCAAAAGAGGTTGTGTAAGATGTGAATGCTCCAAGGTGGGAAGTTTTTAAGAAGAGACTGGACAGCCACTTGTCTGAAATGGTGTAGGTTCTCCTGCTTGAGCAGGGGGCTGGACTAGAAGATCTCCAAGGTCCCTTCCAGCTCCTATTCTATTCTATTCTCTATTCCAGTGTTTCCCAAACTTGACAATTTTAAGGCATGTGGACTTCAACATGCCTTAAAATTGTCAAGTTTGGGAAACACTGCTCTATTCCATTCTATTCTATTCTATTCCATTCCATTCCATTCTATTATTCTATTTTTTCCATTGCATTCCATATTTCCTAATTCTGTTCTATTCTATTCTGTTCTATCCTATTCTGTTCTATTCTATTCTATTCTATTCCTATTCTATTCTATTCTATTCTATTGATAGTGTGGGCAAAATAGAGACTTGGGTGTTCCTTTACAAAATGTGTGTCAGTCGCACAATTTGATGGTGCTTCACACACAACTAGAGATGGGAAGGCCTGAAAAAAAAAAACCTGGAAAAATGGGGGGGGAGCAGATTTTTTTCTGTTTGTTTTTTTTCCAAACGGCTTTGGAAAAAAATGGAGGGAAAAACCCTGTATTTTCCCCAATTTCCCTCCCCCCCCCTTTTTTTCCCCAGGCCTTCCCATCTCTACACTGAACTTAGCTTTCCTCTCTGTGTGCAGTTCACAAGACCCTTTTTTCTGCATACTCCCTGCCTGTTAGTGTTTCTAGTCCTCAAGGTTCTGGAAGGAAGCCATGAAAACAACCTTCGTTGACTTTTCTGTGGCTTGGAAGTGCAATCAGGACTTCAGTGAAATAGTAAACCTTTATAGGATCAGAACAGTGGGGGAGGGGTCACGAGGCTTATCATTTTATGGATTATATTTACATCGTGCCACTTCAGATTAAACATCTCCACCAGTCGACTGAGCTAGCATTATTTGGAGCCCTTCCACTATTAGGACTCTTGTCGGCTTTTGGAGGTGTGAGAACCAGAATAAAGCGTGCGTAGTTCTTCACACTTGTTTTGCTCTCTAGGAAAGGAGTGGCTTTCGGAATGCGGGCTTCCCGGTTCGGCCCCTGCAGAAATCCGGATTTTCACCGACGGGTCCTTCCCCGCTGGATTCACCCTGAAGCTGTACTGCCGTTCTCAGCCAGGTGGGTGGAAAAAAGTGCTGAAAATCTTGTTTCTTTTAAAACTCTGGAAATATTGGCACGGTTCCACCCTTGGCACAGATCACAAGGCTTTTATCTACAGCTGCTGTGCCAGACCAAGGTCAGTCAGCTGCTCAACCTCCCCAGTGTCTGTTCTGGTCTCGGGGCAGTCCCACATGGCAAATCTCTTCTATTTTGTTTTTTAAGTTGAAAAGAGATTGTTTAGACGGCGTGGCTGGTTCCTGCCTCCTGTTTCTGTTCCAGACAATTCTTCTCTTACCTCTGCTGTTTTGTCCTGTTTTTTCCTTGGTTTCCCCCCCCCCCAATCTGCTGAACCCCTAATTCTCTCAGGGGGTCCCTAATGTCTATTGACCCATGTAGTGCGGCTGTTGTATTATTATTTACCCTTCTTATTACGTTCTTTCTCCTCCCTTTTAGTGGGATCGTTATTATTATTGTTCTGTGGCTTTGCATGTACAGCAGTTGACTTAAAACAGCTCATTTAGTGAGTGGTCAAAGCTACAACGTCACTGGAAAAAAGGACCTTGTGACTGTTTTTCACACGATCTTTGCGGGAGCCCCATGGTTATGTGAAGAGACTGGACAGTCAAGAAGGAGAAGGAGAAGGAGGAGGAGGAGGAGAAGAAGAAGAAGAAGAAGAAGAAGAAGAAGAAGAAGAAGAAGAAGAAGAAGAAGAAGAAGAAGAAGAAGAAGAAGAAGAAGAAGAAGAAAAAAGAAGAAAAAAGAAGAGGAAGAAGAAGAAGAAGAAGAAGAAGAAGAAGAAGAAGAAGAAGAAGAAGAAGAAGAAGAAGAAGAAGAAAAGAAGAAGAAGAATTAGTAGTAGTAGTAGTAGTTGGAAGGGACCTTGGAGGTCATCTAGTCCAGCCCCCTGCTCAGGCAGGAAACCCTACACCATTCAGACAAATGGCTGTCCAGTCTCTTCTTAAAAATCTCCAATGATGAGGAAGGAAGGAAGGAAGGAAGGAAGGAAGGAAGGAAGGAAGGAAGGAAGGAAGGAAGGAAGGAAGGAAGGAAGGAAGGAAGGAAGGAAAACAGAATAACAGAACAGAGTTGAAAGGGACCTTGGAGGTCATCTAGTCCAACCCCCTGCTCAGGCAGGAAACCCTATCCCATTTCAGACAAATGGCTCTCCATTCTCTTCTTAAAAGCTTCCAGTGTTGGAGCATTCACCACTCCTTGTCTGAGATGGTATAGGGTCTCCTGCTTGAGCAGGGGGTTGGACTAGAAGACCTCCCAGGCCCCTTCCAGCTCTATTCTGATTTTGATTGGGATGGGAAGCTGAGCGTTTGGGTTGCGTGTAGGCTACAATAACAACCGTGATGTCTTTCTGTTGTAGAACCTTCACCAGGCTCCGGAGCTAAGGCAAACCCAAGGAAAAAAACAGTGGGTAAGCGTGAATTTTTGTTCGTCTGAAAGAGCGTACGTTCGTTTTAGATCAGGCTGCATTTCATTGGCCAGTGAAAGGATCAGCAGTGGGTTCTAGAGAAGGAAGATCCCTGTGTTGCCCCATCGGTCAATGTGGGTTTTGAAATGTTAGCAGTGAAACCAATTAAGAACTTGTGCCTGTTTCTCTTCTTCTTTTTTTTCTCCTTCTTCAAAAAAGTCACTAGTCCTCATTGTTTTAGGGGGAAAACAAATCCATTGCAGAGGAACTGGGAAAGTTTGCAGAGAGTTCTGGTTAGGGTTAGGGCAGAAATTAGCCTCAGTGTAGGAACTGCACACCATGGGGAAGAGGAGGTAAATCAACATTTAACTCCAGTTTGCTTGGTTCCTAGCCGTGCTTGTGTGCACTAACACCGTCCTTAGGGTCAGATTTTGGAGGGACCTTGGAGATCTTCTAGTCCAACCCCGTGCTCAAATGGCTGTCCTCCTTTTGAAAATCTCCAATGTTGGAGCACCTATAACTTCTGGTGGCAAGCTGTTCCACTGGTTAATTGCTCTCTCACTGTCAGGAAATGACTCCTTAGTTCTAGGTTGCTTCTCTCCTTGATTAGTTCCCATCCGTTGCTTCTTGTCCTGCCTTCAGCTGCTTTGGGGAATAGCTTGACTCCCTCTTCTTTGGGGCAGCCCCTCAAATATTGGAATACTCAAGAGTCAAGTCTTTGACGGTAGTATAGCAATGTGAGAAATGAATAGATTACAGAAATAGACTGGCCCTCGACTTTCAACCTGTGTGCCTGTCAGCTGGGAGGGAAAATCCAGAATTTAATTCTGGGTTGTGTGAAAGGAAACATCCCATTATCTCGCGAGTCTCTTTGCCTTTAGTCGAGAGGGTGACCTCAAGAGAAAAATCAGTGCTCTGTATTCATTATATGTGTCACCTTATCATGCTTCCAGCCAAAAGGCTGGTGAATGAGGGTTTTTTTGGGCAGCTGGGGTACAGATCCCATTTTGTCTTTTTCCACTCCTTCAGCGGGGAATGAAGAGCAAATAAAATCAGAAAAGCTAAAACCCACACATCAAAGGGATCCACATTGCTGAGTTTTAAAAAGGGGTCTGGTTTTGACTTGTCTGCCTGCAGTGATTTAAAACCACTCCAGGGAAGAGGCAAATGAAGCCAAATTTCCTGAGAAAGAGGGATATTATTCTCAATCATCGCACAGTCAGCCAGATGTTCAGACTGGATTTGGCATTTTGTCTACCTATCGAGTCCTTACCCAGGACCTGGGATAGGCAGATGTGGATGTTTGATGGTATTACAGATATCGTCGCAGGATGGAAGCAGTTCCTAGTAAGGCCGCCTTTTGCAATTGACTAATAGCGAATTTGTCAATGCCGATGATGGTGTTCAAGTGGTGCTCCAGTTGTTTTGGGATTGCACCCAAGGAGCCTATGACTATTGGTACTACCCTTGCTTGCTTTTGCCACAGTCTTTCTATTTCTATTTGTAGGTCTTTGTATTTTGTTATCTTCTCCAGTTCTTTCTCTTCTATTATTATAGAAGATATTATTATTATTATTATTATTATTATTATTATTATTATTATTATTATTATTATTATTATGGATCATCATACAGTCAGCCAGATGTTCAGACTGGATTTGGCATTTTGTCTACCTATCGAGTCCTTACCCAGGACCTGGGATAGGCAGATGTGGATGTTTGATGGTATTACAGGTATCGTCGCAGGATGGAAGCAGTTCCTAGTAAGGCCGCCTTTTGCAATTGACTAATAGCGAATTATTATTATTATTATTATTATTATTATTATTATTATTATTATTATTATTATTATTATCCATCACACAGTCAGCCAGACCTTCAGACTGGATTTAGCATTTTTTCTCCACCTATCAAGTCTTTCCCAAGGACCCGTGATACTATTATTATTATTATTATTCACAAAGTCCCCAGTTTGCTCTCCCCCTTTCTGATTTTAATAACAATCTTTACCATAAGGAACCGGGAGAGTTATTTTCCCACTAATATCGTGAGAAAACTCTCTGCCGAAATGCAAAATATGGAGGCAACTTTGGCCTTGAAGTGTAAGAGCCATTTTTAGCCTCGCAAAAGCTTTGTTTCAATGGCATGGTAGAAAGTGGGGAGGGGGGGTCTTCCTCTTTCCCTGTCCTCCCCCCCCCACTACAGGGGAATCTCTTGCTTCTCCCCTCCCTTCCTGGGTTGTCATGAGATTCTTTAAGGAAGGATGAAAAAGCAACACGCTTATCCTACCGTCTGTCCATTAATCAGCAGTGAAGTTCTGGAAACCTCACAAATTTGCAGGCGGGTTTTTTTTTTTTTTTTTTTGAACTTGCATCTTATCGGAAATGCGTGGACTTTGTTGCCACAGTCGTTAAACGAATCACGGTCATTTTTAAGTCGGTAACACGGTTGTGAAGTGTTTCAGGTCGCAAAAAGGGGATCGCGTGATCCCGGCACCCTGCAACCGTCATAAAAACGAGTCCGTTGCCAAGCGTCTAGACTACGCTCACGTGACCACGGGGAGGCTGCAACGGTCCCGAGTGCGAAAAACCGCTCCTGTTGCAACTTTGAACGGTGGCTAAAGCAAATCGTTGTAAGTTGGGGACTAGCTGGCCGATGATCCACCACCTGCCTCTCTTCCCAGATCGTGACTGCTCCGTCTCCCTCCTGCGCCTTCACTCCAGGGACGCCGCCGGCCGCCTGCACCCAAGCCCAGACCCCCTTGCGCCCCCTTGCCCGCTAGGCAGCTCGGCCGACCGCTGCCCCAAAGACTGTGGGGCGGTTCGGGGAGCGGGCCGACGGGCGGCTCCCACCGGCAAGGAGGCCTCCACGCCCCTGGGGAAGGGCTTCAACCCCACGTGGCGCGCCCGCTTCCTGGTGGACTTTGACGCGGCCACCGGCCACCTGGTGTGCATGGTGTGCGAGTACCCCTTGCGACGCATCTGCCTGGCCACCGTCAAGCAACACATCCTGCAGTGCCACGCCGAGACGCTGCAGATGCCGCGGGAGGTCCGGCGCACCATCCTGGAAGTCTGGGAGAATCGGAGCCAGCCTTCCACCCAGGTCCAGAGGAAGTGAGACGGGCTGGCGGGTTCTCCCAAACCGCGAGAAAGGGTTAAAAGAGACCAAATTCTGGACCAGGCGGGCCTAGGGGGCGGAACTTGAGGGAAGGAGGCTCCACCCCTCCTCGGAAGCCCCGCCCCAAGGCTATACACTCACATCTCCCTTGCTGGAGAACAGAGCGGATTCTGAGCTGACCCTGCTGCCATTTTTTCCATTTTAAGACTCTGAATTCTGCTTTTTTTAAAAAAAAAAAATAGAATTTTTTTTTTAATTTGTTTTGGTTTTCAACTTTGCTTTTCAGTTCTAAGCAGAAGCAGCTCTGATTTCTCTCTGGCCCCAGCCTGTTCCCTGCCTCTTTTTTTTCTCTCTCTCTCTCTCTCTCACCAATAAAATTCCTCACTGCAGCAGAGAAAAGAAACGGAGAATGAAGCCACTGCTAAATCAGGGAGGAGAGATGAGAGACTTTGGCACTGCCTCCTCTTTATTCAGGAGCAGTTTATTTTAAAAAAAAAAGAAGAAGAAAAAAAAGAAAAACTCAGGGGGAAATCTTTTTTTTTTTTTTTTGAGTTGCAGTTGATGTCTGTCCCCACCCAAAAAGTTGCAGGAAGAAATAAGACACCCTCATTGCTAGGACTGCCATTTTGCAGCCAGATCTTTTCGTCGCCAGCGTTTCTGCGTTTCTGCAATTAATTGGACCTTGTGCTTTGGCTTCCTGATTTAACCAGAGGATAGAAAATATCAGCCTGGGCCTTCAAACCGATTCATAAGCCACAGGGAGCAGCAAAGTATGTTTTATGTTCTGCAGGCGGCTTTTTTATTTTTATTTTTTTTATAAACATCTCCTGTCTATGTACCTTTTGAGTTCTGTGTTCCGATCACCACTTCGCTTGTACTCCTGCAGACAAAAAAAAGGGGGGATTTCTCTTTTGTTACCATTCTTGAGCAGAGAAAAGTAGCCGCATCTAAAAACTTGTGCTGTGCTATCCCCTCTTTTTGCTTTTATGGTTTTGCGTCTGGCCCACAATGCTGGCTTTGAACACCCTGGCTTTGAAAACAAGCATGTGAAGAAGCAGTAATCTCTGTGTGTGCCTTTATTCTCCAGGTGTCAGGCAGCAGTTCAACAGGTGCAAGCAGGAGTGCCCAGTAAGTCCTTGGTTTAGAAAAAAAAAAAAAAAGCACTCATTTCTTTATTGAGGAGGTGGATGGATGTTAATTGCTGTAGATGAAAGCAGGTTTATAGAACTGAGTTGAATCTTAAAGTAGAAGTGTCCTCTCTTATTCCGGGAAAAGGATCGTTAGTGCTGCTGCTAATTATAATAAAACCACTTAAAATCTTCTTTTTCCACCTTTTGGATTGCCTGCAGTTTCAGAAATCACCAGGTGGTGGCGCCTTTGACTGGTTAAAAAGGGCCAGTGAGAGATGGAGGCGCAAGTCCTAGAGCAGACTCCTCTGCATAATTTCAACGCTCAGTATATTTGATCCAGCCAGCAAAACAGCAGCAGCCCCAAAAAACACACATGGGGCACCTATGCTGAAAGACCACACATTTTCCGGTCTGCATTGCCATGCACCCCACATAAAACTGGAAATAGCAATTGCCCCTAGAGCGAATTAAATCTCACACACACAAACACACACCCCCAAAGCCTTGTCAAATATTGACACTGCCAATTGATGGAGCAGAAGTCAGCATTAGGCTTCTGAATATTGTTGATCGAACCCACTCTTGTTTCCTGTCTGAAGATGCTTTAATGGAGGCAATTGAGTTAAACTGACCCTTACCAGGAAACATAGAAAGGGCAGCCTAGAAAAGTCAGTGCCCTCCTAACCATACCCAAGCACTCCGAGTTTGTTGGCGATGTCCATTTGCTCTAGGAGTTCATGGTGACGTAACCCTAACCCTAAGTGGAATTTTCCTCCAATGGGATTTTCCCATGTATTTTACCAGGAAACATAGAAAGGGCAGCCTAGAAAAGTCAGTGCCCTCCTAACCATACCCAAGCACTCCGAGTTTGTTGGCGATGTCCATTTTGCTCTAGGAGTTCATGGTGACGTAACCCTAACCCTAAGTGGAATTTTCCTCAATGGGATTTTCCCATGTATTTTACCAGGAAACATAGATAAGGGCAGCCTAGAAAAGTCAGTGCCCTCCTAACCATACCCAAGCACTCCGAGTTTGTTGGCGATGTCCATTTTGCTCTAGGAGTTCATGGTGACGTAACCCTAAGTGGAATTTTCCTCCAATGGCATTTTCCCATGTATTTTTCCAGGAAACATAGATAGGGCAGCCTAGAAAAGTCAGTGCCCTCCTAACCATACCCAAGCACTCCGAGTTCGTTGGCGATGTCCATTTTGCTCTAGGAGTTCATGGTGACGTAACCCTAACCCTAAGTGGAATTTTCCTCCAATGGGATTTTCCCATGTATTTTTTACCACGAAACATACATAGGGCGCCTAGAAAAGTCAGTGCCCTCCTAACCATACCCAAGCACTCCGAGTTTGTTGGCGATGTCCATTTTGCTCTAGGAGTTCATGGTGACGTAACCCTAACCCTAAGTGGAATTTTCCTCCAATGGGATTTTCCCATGTATTTTACCAGGAAACATAGAAAGGGCAGCCTAGAAAAGTCAGTGCCCTCCTAACCATACCCAAGCACTCCGAGTTTGTTGGCGATGTCCATTTTGCTCTAGGAGTTCATGGTGACGTAACCCTAACCCTAAGTGGAATTTTCCTCCAATGGGATTTTCCCATGTATTTTACCAGGAAACATACATAGGGACGCCTAGAAAAGTCAGTGCAGCACTCCGAGTTTGTTGGCGATGTCCATTTTGCTCTAGGAGTTCATGGTGACGTAACCTAACCCTAAGTGGAATTTTCCTCCAATGGGATTTTCCCATGTATTTTACCACGAAACATACATAGGGCTAGAAAAGTCAGTGCCCTCCTAACCATACCCAAGCACTCCGAGTTTGTTGGCGATGTCCATTTTGCTCTAGGAGTTCATGGTGACGTAACCCTAACCCTAAGTGGAATTTTCCTCCAATGGGATTTTCCCATGTATTTTACCAGGAAACATAGATAAGGGCAGCCTAGAAAAGTCAGTGCCCTCCTAACCATACCCAAGCACTCCGAGTTTGTTGGCGATGTCCATTTTGCTCTAGGAGTTCACGGTGACGTAACCCTAACCCTAAGTGGAATTTTCCTCCAATGGGATTTTCCCATGTATTTTACCAGGAAACATACATAGGGCAGCCTAGAAAAGTCAGTGCCTTCCTAACCATACCCAAGCACTCTGAGTTTGTTGGCGATGTCCATTTTGCTCTAGGAGTTCATGGTGACGTAACCCTAACCCTAAGTGGAATTCCTCCAATGGGATTTTCCCATGTATTTTACCACGAAACCTACATAGGGACGCCTAGAAAAGTCAGTGCCCTCCTAACCATACCCAAGCACTCCGAGTTTGTTGGCGATGTCCATTTTGCTCTAGGAGTTCAAGGTGACGTAACCCTAACCCTAAGTGGAATTTTCCTCCAATGGGATTTTCCCATGTATTTTACCACGAAACATACATAGGGACGCCTAGAAAAGTCAGTGCCCTCCTAACCATACCCAAGCACTCCGAGTTTGTTGGCGATGTCCATTTTGCTCTAGGAGTTCAAGGTGACGTAACCCTAACCCTAAGTGGAATTTTCCTCCAATGGGATTTTCCCATGTATTTTACCAGGAAACATAGAAAGGGCAGCCTAGAAAAGTCAGTGCCCTCCTAACCATACCCAAGCACTCCGAGTTCGTTGGCAATTTTTGTTTCTTCTGCCATCAAAGTGCTTCATAAAACGCTAACGCTGTACTCTACAAACCACATTAACGCAATTGAAATCGCTCTTAAAATTACACAAGAGGATTGCTCAGAAATCAAAAGCTCCCTCCCGTCCCACCGTCCCCCTTCGAAAGAGATTCTCATTACAAAAGCAGAAAAATCACATTTAATAAATTAAGGGAGGCCTTTACAGTCGGGCCCAATAAATAACAAAAGCAAGGTTGGGAGAGAAACAGACGGAAGGTGAAATGGAACAGCAAGAGGCAATAGTTTTTTTAAGTACAAAAAAGTCTAAAAAGAGACGGAGGAGAATTTGCACTCGCTACCCACCACCATCACAACTGCTACGTGGGAGAAGATGCCGAGGATGCTTTACAGCTGCAAAGTTGCTCGGGTCAGGGATCGTTGAAGCAAAGCCAGGAGCACAAAAGTTTTATGGAGGCAGGTGTGTGTACACACATGCATATACAAATCAGCCATAAGCTTTGCACTGGACATCATGTGCATTTAAAGGTGGGGTGGGTTGGTTTTTTGTTGTTATTTCTGAGTTGTCTTTTCAGAAACAATCCATGTTTCCAAATTTAGCCGCCTTTTGTCACGTTTACCCCCTTTTAAAACAACAACAACAACAAGGCTTTCAAAATATTTAGAGGAAAGAAATGTCAATTTTGTTTGCAAAAAAAAAAAAAAGGCTTGCAAACGCGGTTTTGATGGCATTCTGGAGAACCGGACTTTTGAAAAACAGCAGTTCACGGATTCTGAAACCCATGTCTTTACCTTAATTGGGATTTAAACCCCTAAATCTATTAGATTTCTCTCTCTTTCTTTGCCAAAGCCCTCCCGTTTGTTTCCATAGCTCGGTGTGCTGAAAAAAATGGTTTTGCATACCGGCTTTCACCGAAGCTTCAAAGCAAAGGTGAGCTTGACTCCAACCCCAGTCTCGTCATAACATTTTCCCCATTCCAGGGGGTCCTGGAGTTACAACCACAATGGTGCCCATTTCTGTCGCTAAGTGAATTCTGCCCCACTTTTTTTTTTTTTTTTTGCTACAGTTAAGTGAGTCATACAGTCGCAAAGCCGAGCTGGCTTCCCCACCTTACTTGGCCAAGCCCCTAAATTCTGATTTTACAGTTGTAAATGTGAAAAGCAACTACAAGTCGCTTTTTTCCGTTGTAGTCGCTAAACGGTTGTAAGTTGAGGACCTCCTGTGCACCATCCTGGGAATTTCAGACAGTCTCTAAAATCTTGCCGCTGGCAGTATTCAGAATTAAAAGAGGTCAGGCTTTTCCAACAAGAAAGGAACGATGCCAAAAAAAAATAAACACATCACCCTAAGACACTTTTTTCAAAGAGAGACAAACATGAAGACTACAAAGACTTTTTTTATCACAGTTGTGTGGCATTTCCCCCCCCCCCTTTTGGCGTGGTGAACGAGCGGAGGAAACGGAGGACCTGCCTGCTACCCACTCCTCATTGCATTTCCCCCCCCCCCATTTATTCTCGCTTGGCAAGTTGTTGCTGGTGAAGGGTTGGGGAGAAATGAGACGTGGAAGACCGTTGAGAACCACAAGGTGTACAGCAAGCTCTTTGCATTCCCCACTTTTGGGATGGGGGGGCACGGGGGCTTTAAGGTGAGCCTCTCCCCCTGATAAAAGTATGTGTTTATATATTGCATCTGAAGTCAGAAGGGAGCTTTAACCTCCCCGAAATAAATTCCAGGGATGGTAGATGCCTCTATAACCGGTGGGCAAGTTTACGACCTGTGGACTTCAACTCCCAGAATTCCTCAGGGATTTTGGAAGTTGAAGTCCACAGGTCGTAAAGTTGCTTTATAAGATAGCGGCCTCTATTGTCGCTGGCTGTTGAGAATGATGGGAATGGTAGTCTTTCCCCCCCACACACACACACCAAAGCAGGAAGCTGTAGCATCCTTCCCCCCCCTTCTTGTTTTTCTAAATTAAACATCCCTCTTTTTTTACAGTGCTTTGTTTTTTGGAGAGACCCTCCCAAGATGGGGAGATGGGCTGCTCTAGCTGTGCCCAGAGGGAGGTGGGGCTCCTGTTCCTCATAGCTCCCCCCTACTCATATTTCAAATCCTCAGTCCACCTAGGTTTTGGATCTGCTCGTGGAGGGGGGCAATGTAACTGCCACCTGTGGCTTTTTAAAGCCATTGCCTCTATTTTTTTCCCCCCCAGGAAAAAAGCTGCTTTAGAAAGCCTGCGGCGATTGGCCGTCTCTGAACCGCTCCGAAACCCCGTTTTGCAATCGGTTCTGATGTGCTGCATGATCCTCGTAACATTAGAGGCAACCAAGAGACAGGAGCAGAAATGGGGGGGGGGGTAAGAGAAAGAGAGAGACCTCATTGCCCCTCTTAAGTGGGGGGGGGGAAGGATGGATTTCCTGCCCCAGTTTGCAGCAATGTTTTTAAGTCTGCCGCACCCAGTTTGGGGAATGCATTCTACCCTCACCCCAACCCATTTTAAACCCCCCAGCGCCAAACCCTTCCTCTTCGTTATAGATGCACA